TTATAGTAAATCTAAGTTTTATTATAGCTTTTTATAAAAGAGCTATATTATAACTACTAACTTTAAAAATAAAAGAAATCTTTCTAAGTATAATTTAAATTTTTTTTTATCATTTTAAATAAAGTCTAAATAAACTTATTTTAATTTTCTTATAATTATTTAAACTTATATAAGTATATTATAACCTTATAAATATATTTAAATCTTTTTATAAAAATTTACTTTATTTAAAAACACTTTCCTAACTCTAAAGTAAGTTAAACAATAATAAGCTGAAATACTATTAGTAAAAACCCTTCTAATAGACCTTTAGGTATCTTACCTCTATTAGCTTCTCAGTAAGAACAAAGCATTTGCGATCTTGATCCTGGCTGAAATTGAAAGAACAAGATCGCCACAGCCCACTAAAACCCATATCCTCAAGGATCTCATTAAGAACAGCAGTTGATTCTAGCGCGGAGCTGAATTTCGGATTCGAAGTCAGGGCATGGAGAAGTGCCTGAGCTGACTCCAGTGTTGCGGAGTTTTGACAATGCAGCAAAACCTCGTCAAGGATGGGGACGATAGGCCCGCAGCTACTTCGGGTCAGCTATAACGCCCAGTCACACGTAAGGGGTAGGGGAACATACAGATGCATGATGACGGCCGGCCTTGCTGACGCAAGCTCAGTCAGCCAACGGAGAGTTCGGTTCTGCAGTGCGTCCTCTAGGTACTGAAAGTCGATCAATTCAATTGCGGTGTTCAACAGCAGATCTTTATCCTTCATGCCACTCAAATCGTCGTATCTGCATGTGTTCGTTACATCGCCCAGCACGGAAGGATTGATACCCGCCAGCCACAAGCTGTCTTTCAGCTCTTCACTTCCAACAGTTCGCGCTAGGATAAGCGCCATGTAAGGCGAACGTGAAATGATGTCCGATGGTCTTCCTGCCTCATCTGTGGAGTTGCCGGCCATATCGAGGAATGCGGATAGCACTCGCATCGCGTTGGTTTTGGTAGTGGTGTCGGCCAGGCCGCGTGCCAGACATGCGCACACGGCAAAATGAAAATTTTCGCGCGTGAAGTGAATGCCGTAAGCTTCGTCCAGAGACAGAGCAGCGTCCTCTAACTGCACACGACCTTGGAGAAGAAGAGACCCCATCTTGTCTCCTCGCAAGTCCCCGACTGTGCTGATGTTGGTCATAACAGCCTCAAGAAACTGGGCCGTGCAGTTGAAAAGAGCTGGAGGAACCAACCGTAAGAGTGAAATGGCAAGCCAGAAGAGTTGTAATCCGTAACGCGACGCAGAAGGCAACTTTGCCATCATCTTGGACAAAGAGGTGACGATAGAAATGAGCATGTCACTGTTGGTGTCATCTCCTAGACGACCTACGCTGTTGCGCAGTGCGACGAGAACCTGGTAGAGTAGGTCGTCGTCCACCTCCTCACGTGCCAGACAGCCCATGACAGCGAACGCTCGGGGTTGTATTGCTGGGTTATTCTGAAAGGCCGTGCTGGCCACGAGGCTCATCCAGCGCGACCTCCAGGCATTGGATATGTCCACTGATGGGGCGGCCACAGAGCAGACCTCGAAGAGCAACGCAGCCAGGTTCTCAGTCGCAGCCAGCGACGGGCCCGAGTCTTGAGTAGTCGACATGGAAGCACCATCACGTAGGAACGGAGGCGGTGCTGCGAATATTTCGCTTCTTGGTTCGCTGAGGAAATCCAAGCTTCCCCTGAGCTTGTTGAAACGAGTATCGTCCAGATTGAACGAGGTGCACGCCGCATGAACTGTGTTGACGAGAAGTCTGTGAACCAAGAGACGCACTTCTGGAGAGCCAGTGTTTGCCAGTATGGTGACAATGTGAAAGATCTCCGGTAGATAAAGCTGAGATTGAACACCATTATCAAACGATAAGGACAGACAGAAGTGTAGAAGCACACAAATCTCTGCCCAGACGGCGTTGTCAGGCAAGTACCTAGTCGGTCGGAGGGAAGATCGGTTCAGTGCTTTTCGCAACCGGGAAATGACCTTCCCACGTAGTGTGATGCTGCCCATGCCCGACACTATAGAAGAAAGAGCCTCCATGGGCTCCTCGGAGTAGTTGAAACTCAAAGCTGACCGCATGAGTTCTTCGAGGAAAATATCCAAGACCGTCTCGTCTTGGTAAATGGCGGGCCATACAACTTGCTCTAGAGTATAGGTCAACGAATGATCGGTCATGGCCACGTCTATCAGCTTTCGAAACAGAACCGCGACCTTCTCCTTGCCTTTCTCCGCGTCAGCTTCATTGGCAAGCACAGCTGTGCGAAGGCCCGGAAGCCATGGTGACATATAAGCAAGACTAAGAGGCTTCTGCTCCTCAGCAAATGTCTCCCAGCCGACGAAGAACTCAGTCAAGAAATCGAACGTTAGCTGAGGCTCAGACATTGCCAGTTGCTTGCTGATTTTGATGATGAAATATGAAGGATCCATTGGCACGGAAACGTCTGTACGAAACGGTTAGCAATGTTTCACGCGAACTGAAGTAGCCCTTGGGATTGAGTCGTGCACCACAGCAGATTGATATTCTTACCCTTTGTACACATCAAGTTTGATGCAGCGCTGAACTTGAATGCCTTGCAGAGGGCCCCAAGCAGGTTGTAAGAAGAGAGCCTGAGCACGTGATCGGAACTTGACAGGTTGGTAAGTGCCAGGTTAAGTAGAGTTCCGGGAACGTCCTGCGGGCGGATAAGCCGCTCATAGGCCTTGTGAGCTCTCGTGTCCTTGCCATACTTGGCCTTTGCACCACGAATCGTCTGCAATACGTCCGCCTTCTTGGGGCTGGTAAAGTACATAACGATCTTTCCGTTATCAGCGCGAAGGCCAAACGCTGAGTCATCTTCTGTCTGGATTGAAGTCGGCGCCTCTTCCACCTCACCGAGACGAAATATGTCATTGACGGTCGTGCTCAACCTATAGCCAGGAAAGACCTCCTGTTTTTTTGTGGTTGTCACCTGTACGAACTGGCTGCCAACTTTGATGACAACTTCAATCTTACCCTTGGTCTTGGAAAGTCGGGTAATTGGTTGAAACACATAACGTGTGTCGGTGACGACGCTGATTGTTTCTTTGGGGAGGTGCAGTTGACTCAAGTGAAAATGAGCCTGGAGGTCCTGCAGACTACCGATTAGGTGGTAGTCGACATTCTTCGGATTAAAAACGCTGGTGTCGCTCTTGGCGGACACCCGAAGGAGCCTTCGGAAGCATTTCCTGTCGTGTGTCAGTAGTGACATCCAGACTCTCGGCAAAACTCATACCTGAATGCGCTGTTCATGTTGTAAACATATATCCTAACGAGATTTCTCGACAGCTCCACAGGTGTGAGAAGCTCAAGCTTCTTGAAGAGCTCGTCTTGTGGTTCGTTCTGGCCGTTGTAGCATGTAGCATCGATGAGCAAACCGAAAGGCTTGTGCCAGAGGCGGCTTGCAATCTGTCCGCAGTCAGTCACAAGAATCGAGAACGAGTAAGTTGCATGTCTCAGAGATGAGTAGAAATGATCAGCGCATACACTGTTGGAGCTAGCATTTCAAGAATCGGTGAGACGAATGATTCACCGCAACGTACCTTGAGATAGCAGTACAACAGCGTGTCATAGTCAATGCTCTCTGCATCAATGTGTCGCAGTATGATGCAAATAATGGAGAGGGAATCCTGTGTAGGCGGGCCTATTAGTTGACGGGCGAATTGACAGATGCACCTGAAGGATGACTCACCTTGCTCTCGCCTCCGTCGTAGACGGCTCTAGCAGTCACAAACGATTCAGTGCTTCGGAATGCGTTCCGAAGCATGAAGTTCTGGAAGCGGGAGTATGACGGCGGAGTATTCGTAGAAATTTGAGGCCTATTCCAGGTGACAGCGAGTGGTGGGGGTCCAAGGTTCGTGATGAGGTGGCGCAAAGGCTCAAGAACCGGCGACCTTCCTCTAGAAACCTCGGCTGGCGATCGCACATAATCTTTGCGTTCCTGGGTGACGAGCCTCTGCCGCATGTGGTCCCAGTGATCGTAGAGGAATCTATGAAGGGCAACACAGGAACCGAAATCAAACGACTCGATGCTTGGCGGACTGTCGATCGTCTCTGGAGCCACCTGTAATGAGTAGTCAGCAGGCACAGCTGGTGACCGCGCAGGACAATTTGGGTCACCTACAGATATCTCGCGAAGAAAGGTAGTAACTCGATAGATATTTTGCGTGAGAAAATCATTCAGAGGAAACATGTAAGGCTCTTTCGCCCCAAAAAGCACATTGTTCGCCAGATTTTGAATGACCTTGGCAATCAAGAGGAGGCCTCGGCGCATCTCCTTGGAGGGCGTCGTTGTCACTAGGCCCTCGACCTCTGGGGCAACAATTGCTGGGCAGAAGAAGCGAAGGAAAACAAAAGCCCCAACGGCGGTGTACTTGGCCTCTTGAAACCTAGGCAGTACAGCAGTGGATATCTGGTAACCTCGTGTCAGACGTTGGACATTGGAAGATTCAGCGCAGCTTGGCGCACGTACAATGTTACAAATTTTGCGGAACGACGCTGGCATGCTCGTCGAGGATGCGCAGATATCATCGATGAATACTTTAGCTACAATCCGTAGCTGGAGGGCGTTCTTCTGCAACTCATCGGTGGAGCTGACCCTGGCAGGATCCAGCTCGAGATCTAGATCCTTGGATGTAAGCATCAATCTCTCTACGACCTTTTGCAGCGTTGCCTTGAGGTATGGCTGTCCCTTCCACTTCGCGTAGACGGACAGCATCTTCGTGGCGACACAGGTTCGCCTGAGGATCTCGGATTCGTTATCTTGCCCAAAGGTGTACGGTCAGCCTCGCACCCCTCATGATGCAGTCAACATCCGCAGTCTTACCCGTTTCCTCGATTTCCTGCTTGATGAGAACCTCCAGTAACTCAAAGCTAAGGCCCCGATGCTCGAAAATGGTGAGCAAAGATATGGTCAATTCGTCGACTTCACTGCTTGGACACACGGCACTCATAGCGGCAACAAGCGTCATGTCCTTGGTTAATAACTAAGACAGGTGTTAGACAGCAATGGTGAAGGTTTTCTTTCTGAAAGAGGGGGGGTGTTAGATTTCGTGGATTCATCTGGATTCACACACCTCTAGCAACTCATCGTACTTCTCGCTCACAGCAGCGTCAGTCAGGTTACTGAACTCCGTCCCTTGTATGAGTATGTTGTACAAGACTTTAACAAAAGCCGTCCGGATCTCGACGTTGTCGTGATAACCAATGTTTAGAGAGTGTTTCAGACCGACATCGATATTCGCACTCAGCAGATTCGAGAGAATGGTGATAGCAAGCTCTGAAGTCGGGGTACCCTCGTCTCGGCTTGCAATTCCAGCCGGATGGTCGCTCCTCCCACTTTCGGGAGATTCGTGGTTGAGCAACGATAGGAACCGATTGAAGTAGGTGTGAAACATTTGTGACTTGAGCTCACTCATGCCGGCGTCGGTTTGACCCTCTCCAGGTTGAAGTGGAAGACGGAAGGTAAGCTCAGCTAGTGACCTGAGAGAAGCTCTATCAAGGTCTTTCTGCACCCTCACCATCTCATCTAGGCGGCCGCCTGTGCTAGCTGTTGAGTCAAGTCGTGGGGAGCGGGGCCGAGCAATCCAGCCAAAAATGTACTCAAGAAGCTGGTTCCGGATGCGCACGTCGTCTCTGAGATTTAAATGCTCCTTCCTCTTAGTGACAGCCTCGCACAACTGGCATACCTTGATCTTGACACGCAAGGTGTTGGTACTGTCATTGACGCCGTCTAAGAATTTGGCAAAGTTGAGAGCGAGCGCTCCTAGGTGAATGCAGGAGGCTGCACCAAGGTCTGAAGGGCTTTCAAGACGCTCCACCAAAGCTTTCAAAAGCGATATGGCCTGCTCAGCGAAGATGATCTCAACATCTTGGGCTTTGTCGCTCGGAGCCAGTGCGCCGGTGAAGAGGACCTCGAGTTCAGATTCTAGTGCTCTGAACAGAGACTGGTAGAGTGTGGACGAGACTTCGCTGGACAAGACTTCCCTTGTAGCCTCCCTGATCCTGACGCTCGCACAGCCGAGGAGTTGAATGCTCAACTTGAGATATCGACCAAGCAGAGGTTCCTCGTGGTTTTCGGATGGCAGCCTATCGATCCACCTTAGACCACTGATCGCTGGCTCTTCCATAATGATTGCTTGGTTTGCAGTACAAATTCCCCCGAGCGATGCCAAGAAGCCGGAGTAGTTGCGCCATTCCGTCAAAGTCCGTTCGTCAACCGCATCAAGCGCGGCCATGGACACCTCCCTGGAGAGGAGAAGCCACCTTTCGAAGCCATACTCCCATGCTGAAAGGATACCGCTGGTTGGGAATTGAAGTCGTCGGAGCAGTCCGCGAACTCTCTTCTGAAAGGCAACCAGTCCAGTGAAGCGGAAGGCTCGTGACGCGATCTCCCCATACACCTCGCCGTTTCGGAGTAACGTGGCAAACGTTTTCGCAGCGTCCGAAGAGACGCCAGCAAGATTGTTCTCTTCGTAGAAAATACCAATGCATGAAGTCACAGTTTGGCAGGTATCAACGTCTGCGGAACACAGAGATACAAGCAAGGTTGTCTCGAGTCTAGAAGACGCGGCTTCTACTTCAGGCACGTCGTCGGGGAGCTCCGCAAGTTCCTACATGGACAAACGGCGTGTTAGTCTCGCGAATTGGAATGATCACTGCGTTACTTACACTGAGAGAAGCCAGTAGAAATTTGCGTGCTTCAAGAAATTCGTGAATCGCCTTAACCTCAGGCCCATCACCGTCAGATGTGACTTGGTTACACATATTGAGAAGAACAAGAGAGCTATTCGGCGCAACTTAGCCTGGAAAACACTCAAACGGGAACAGAAATGCACGCCTTACCATCGTCTCCAAAATTCACGCCTAAGACCCAGGGATTTCAATCTGCTGCGAGATTTAATTGTGTCAAGAATGGTGCTGTCAGAGAGAAGGCGCTTTGCAACACCAGTAGCGAGTCTGCGAACAGTTGAATTTACAGACACAACGCACGATAGGAAGGACAAGAAGGCATCTTCCTCTGCAGCACCCGCACCTGGCTCGCCGGGTCCATCTGCGCTGAAAAGCGAATGGGGGGACGCATCAAGAAACTTGAGCACGTCGCACGCCATGTTCGTGGAGGAGTGAAGGTTTGAATCACGCCGTGGCATGGCGAGTACAGTGGCAGTGGTTTCTGTCGGCAAATCCGCTACGGCCTGCGGTCCAGTTAAGTCAGGTCCTTCAGACGTCTTACGAGAGCAGAAATGTTGGAATGGACATCCGGAGTTGCATACCTTGAGCTGAGCTCGCATATACGGCCCCGCGACCGCGAATATTTGCTCGTACCTGTACGAGTCGGCTTGGCGCGCAAAGTATCGGCAGCCCTGCACCACGGCGGTCTTGAAGGCTTGTGGCGAAGAAGGGCTTAGATATGATTGGAGAGAGTCGACACAACTGTCCGGACTCAGTTGTGCTAAACTAACAAATGCCGCTGTCATTAGGTCCTGATCAAGAAGAGAGGCATCGTTGCTACCACGACGAAATACTGCCTCTCTGACCTCGTCTTGTACATCCATGGCGTAGCTAACGAGCGCAGCGTCGTCCTCAGCAACGAAGTGTCGAGCAGCTCTGAGCAAAGAGACGAGTGAATATGCCGCCTGTTCGTTCTTGTTCCTCAATGCTTTCCGCAAGCCGTCCAGAAACCCGACCTTCTTGGCCATGCTCCCGCTCTTCGCATCTCGCAGGTTGCTAGCCACTTCAAAAACGTCTGGCAGAAGAAACAGTAGGGTGGTCTGGAGCGGATAAAGCATTCCTTTTTTCCGTCCATTATCTACCACAGTTTGTGTCATGTCGAAAAGTGTATCAGCGCCGCCGTCAAGACGTTTGTGCAATGTATGTTGCTGAACAAACTCATGGGGATACCGTTCTAACCAGCGCGTGATGAGAAGGGGTGCCACCACAGCGACAGTGTTCTGAAACGTCTTCCGAAAATGGAGGAAGCTGGAGCAAATCTCCTGGATGATGAGTCCCAGCTTCTGAGCATCCACCCAAAAGAAGGACAGAATCTTGAGAACGGACAGAGCCGCCTTGTCGTCATCTGGGGCGGTAGCAGATTGCCCCGGTGCCGCTTGCACAACGGCGGCAGTACGAACCGTGTACACCACGTTTCTGAAGTAGTCAAAAGAGCTTGACCAAGTGGAGGCGGTAACGTATTCGACAATGACTCTGATGCAAGGCTCCATGATCGCAAGATGAGAAGTTGATAGAGTTTCGTCTTCAGAGCTGTAGGTCCCAACAAGCAGCGGCGAAGCGATGCCGCTTGGAGGGCTGAATACTGGGTTGGCGGTTTGTCTCGTTTCATCGTCTAAAATAGTGGACGATGGAAGGGCAAATCCTTCAGGTATAGGTTCCACAAGCCACTTGAGCAACTCAAAGATGCGGGTAACGAGAGCTTCGTCCAAGGGCTCAGGAGCTTGTGTAGGAGCGTTGCGACGCGTCCCCGAATCGACGGCAGGCTGACGTTGCTGCGACTTGACATGATCCCAGTGGGCGGTACAGCAGTCGGCAGCCAAGGCTAGTATGTATATCTCGGAGAGGAGGACGTGAGGAGGATGAGTAGGTGGAGGAAGCCCTTTGTAGTTTCGAATTATATCTTCGAGGAGGGCGACGAGAGAGTCCAGGACGGAGGCAGCAGCGGTAGTGCTAATCTTCACCAGTGTGGACCTTGTGATGATGACGATATCGTCTTGTTGAAGTTCTTGACCGTGGGTTCCTGTCCTGTGAGGGAGCTGCGGAGGCGCAAACGCCATACAAGGTCAGTCACACGAACTCGAGAAGGAGGAGAGGCAAGTCGAGCCAAGATGGACGGCCGAATCGCCTCTTCATAGCGATAACAACTCACCCTGGTAGCAAGTCTGTCAACCAGGCACCCGACGAGACCAGCATCGCCGTTCATTTCTGCTAGTCGAGGCAGTCGGGTTCATGACCGCACGCGCCTGCGCCGGTTCAGTTTCCCTTCCTTCGTCCGGTTTGACTGAAGAAAAAGCCAATCCAATCTTGAGCCTCGCAGTGTGGGAGTGAGACGGTTGCGGGGCGCTACGAGAGCTGGGTTTCAAAAATATCGACGCCCAACGAGAGGAGCGAGAACGGCAAAGGCCAATGGAAATTCGATGGTGTGGCGTGCGGTAGGTGCGTTACTGCCGGCGACGGGGTTGATGCTGAGGACAGGAATATGGGCACGCAAGTCGCTATTCAGATATGGATGCTACCTCAGCCGTGACGTTGTGGCGGACAAACTGAGGTTTAGAATGCAGGACTGTGCTTCCGTGACCTGGGCACCTTACCTGACCGATGGGCTGCGAAGTAAGGTAGGTAGGTAGACTCGAAGACCTTACTGGTAGCAAGGTGCTAGTCAGCCGAGGCAGGGGTTGGACAGCGGATCTGCCTTACCTGAGTACACTGTATGTGCTTAAGGTATGTAGGTCGTTAAGGTACGGAGTACCTAGGAGATAACCAGCGACGGGAGTGCGGGGGCAAAGTGGATTTCAGCGTAAGGTGGGTACACTGTGACAGTGCGATTCGAATCGCGCAGCGTGCTGCAAAAGGAACAGCACGACCGCTCTTCAGCCTGTGGTGTGAGACAGGTGTTAATGGCAGTTGTATGCCTGCGCACTATGAGATAGATAGTGCCTTAGATCGTGGAGGGGTAATAACAAAAACTCGGTCTACTCCTGTAGGGGAGAGGAACATCACATCTGGCCTACAATGAGGCTGAGAGCAACACACTTTAGCGGAACTAGCTACATGGCTATCGCCAGAGGCACGGTTTAATCCTCTTTGGGCATGCGAACTTCGTACGAAAATTGGCAGTGGACCCACAAATGTATCACCGACTTGGAGTGAACAGTCCCATCAGCTGCCTGATTTAGATCCCTTCTCTCAAAGTAGGCATTTTTCTTCGGTTTTTCGCCAAGCAGGTACCCTATCTTTAGCACCACCCAATTGCCGGTGCCGGTGCCTTCCAACAACATACTTAATTGCGGACCAATTCGCTCTCGGCCGAGGCAGCACCATAGCGGCAACCTGCACACATCCGTCGTCGACCTTGATATTCATTCTAGATCTGATCTCACGTCCAAACATATCATCGCAATGAAGCCCAACTCCTATGCGACCCTGCGTGTTTACTGGAGCTCATACTATCTAACATATGGCATTACTTCGGCGATGGCGGCTCTTCATCTCTTTTCGTCATCCGTTTTCTTCTACTTTCACACAAACGCTTCCGTCAACACACCCCAGCATAACTACAATTGCATGTAATTTCAACTACCTGTGGTTGCGTCCGCCATAACCCCCACCAAAGCCGCCGCCGCCGCGACCACCTCTGTGGCCCCCACTCTGATACCCGCCGCGCCCACCACGACGACCTCCGTCATTATGATTCGCATATGGGCTTTGGATGGGCGGAGGTCCGTAGCTTTGATACTGTCCATATCCCCCGCCGCGATAGGATCCGTTCGAGTTGTGGAAAGCTGGCGGGGGCGGGGGCGGGAGTCCCATCCCGAAGCCCGGGTGGCCTGGTGGTGGAGGCTGCCATGACTGGCCCTGCGGTGGTCCAGGGGGTCCATACCCGTGTTGCACGTAGTTGCCATTGCCCGAATGCCGTCCGTTTCCGCCGCTTGGGGCGTAACTGAACTGATCTCTGCGCCCTCCACGGTTGTAGCCATTCTGCCCCAGTGGCGCACCACCGTAGCTCCGTCCTGACCGAGATGATTTGCTTTTGAGCGTCTCAATGTCATTGCGGTCTAGAGCCGCTGTAGGCAGCTTAACGCCACGCAGCAACATAGATTTGTGAGGGTGCGAGCTCGCCGGAAAGGAGTACCAGACGCTGTTAAATGTATTAGCTTGCTCTGCAGGATACGGAAGCCATATGTGGCTAGTTTCGTTGTGACCAACATACCTCAGGGACCTGTCGTAATCAAGGTTGGGCATGCCGCCGCGCTCCAGAGGATATACTAGTTCGCCGTGGGGTAGGTAGTCCGGAATCTTCTCAATCTTGCCAGACAACCCGTCGCTCGTACGCGGGTTAAGCTTCAATGTTGGTTCTCCTTGCTTCTTGGAGTAAAAGTTGGTGGTGATCTCATCGTACAGTTCGTGATGAGCATCCGAAAGCAGCAGGACATCCCTGCCCACTCCATTTCTGGCCCGGTCTGCGGCACTGAGAAGAGGGTACTTCTTCTCTACGGCAGCAAGTAACCTGGGCATCTCAATAAATGGCAACAATGCCACTCCCTGCCAAGCCATCTTTTTGCCATTCAGGTCAATCTCGAAGTCGGTAGGGTAGAAGTCAATGACCTCGCTGTCCTCGTTCAACATGAGATCGTGGAAGACTTCGGGTAAGGCGTGGCGAGATGCCGCAGGCAGCACACTCATCAACTGCTCAAAGGGTCTGGAAATTCGCCCTTTTTCGAACGCGATTTCCATCTTGTCCAGTTCCACAAAGTCTGCCGCGAATGGGGCGTAGTGGTAAGGGTAGTACCACTCCCATGATGGGCAGCCTTGAAAGTAGTAGAGCAGGACCCAAGACAGACCTTCAACATACGCTCTGGCAACCTGATGTCGGAACTCAACGTCCTTGCGGTCAACATGGAACTTCTGTTCATAGTATCTGTCCGCGTAGCCCTCCTCCCACATCCTCACATGGTCCATTGCCGCCTCTTCGGCCGCAGATGGTGCGCTTGTTCCCGCCGCAGGGGTAGGAGTCGAAAGCTGATCAGGTTCACCATCGGCCTTGCGCTTGCCAAGAATCGACTTCGCGTCCGTCGAAGCGCTTGGGGCATCGACCTTTGCAGCTTGACTTGCATCGCCTTCTGATATAGGTTCGGCCTTGGACATCATGCCCTTGATCTGATCCTTTATGGCGCTTGCTGCACTCTTATTGGCGGAGTTAGCATTCATGTTCGATGATCGACCAACGACCATGTCGTGAGTGATCCCATTAGGACCCCCTGCAGCAGGGAATAGGGGTAAGCCTGCAGTAGCGTTGTCAACCTGCTTTGGCCGAGCGTTCCTGGGTTGGTTACGTTCTTCTTGAAGCTTGCGACGTTTGGCGTTGGCCTCTCTGCGATCTTCTTGTTCCTTCCTCCTTTTGAAGATGCCATCCTCTTGCTTTGCAAGTCCGTTGAGGATCAATTGCGCCCGAGCAAGATCGACGTGCCCGTCTTTAGTGACGTAGCCACCCATATGAGGGAGGTTGTCTTTCCAGATTGCTGTCAGAGTGTCGATACCGTTCTCGCGAATCTCCAGCGCAGGCAGGTGAGGCAAGAAATCGTTGCCCACGAAACAACACATGAAAACCCAGTCGTCAAGAGCTCTCTCCAGATCAAAACGGAAGGGCAACCCAGGAACATTGAGCTCAACGGCCAGGTACTCGCGTAAAATTGAGACATGCAGCCAGATGAAGGGTTTCTGTGTTGGCGCCTTTTCTTGTTCATCGAACTCGCCAACTTTCTCCTTGGCCTCGCCGCGGCAATTTCGAGCCTCGTGACCCTTCTGCCCGCAAATCCTGCACACCCTCGGCTTGCTGTCCTGAAAGAAGACATCCTCTCGCAAGACTCGGAAATGAGGCTCGTGAGTTGCGAGACCTAGCATAATCAAATCGGCATCAAGACCGTAGATGACATGGCGCGTGTTTGGGTCATAGTCTGGTGAGATACGCTGAGACCGAACAAATGACATGATCTTGTGCTCTCCCTCACCGGGTACTGTGGCATCTGAGATGATAATTTTGAGCCTAGCCCAGGCCGGGTCCGTGTTGAGCTTGTACGCGCACCAATATCTGAGGCTCGCAGCGAGTATGTCCATGAAAGGGGTCCCAGGTGTAATGGAGTTGGAATCAAATGCCTTCTTGGTCATACTCTCAAGTGTATCTTCTGGGATAACGCCGCCATTTTGCTGTTTTAGGAGCTTCATGAGCTCTTCTTTGTCCTCCTCCTTCTGCTGAGCGTCTTGAGCGGATCGGAAACGTCGCGAGCGCTGTTGATTCATCTTGGCACGAGGAGCCACTCCGTCTAGCCAGTAGAGGTCAGTGATATTGTTGTAAAAGACTCGCAATGGATGCAATGCGGAAAAGGGAGGCAGCACATACCAACAGCAATCATTAGAAGCTTTCGCGGCCGAACCATATTAACAACACGGTCTGTGTACCTGAATACCTCGAGCATCATCTCCTCTTCGTCCTTGGGAGCTGGGCGATCCTCGGGGTGTGAACAAGGATGCACGATGCCGTTCATGTCGAGATAGAGATTGTCTAGTTCCTCGCCGTTAGGATTGGGGCCGGTGGTGTCGACCGGGATTTCAGATCCATCATCCATCTTCACAGGCTGCTCCTCGATCACCGGCGAAATGATCTTTGGATACTTGTTGGAAAGCCATCGGAAAGCGGCCGGGATACCCATCTTGTCTTGGGTCAAGCAGTAACGCTTTGCTCGAGGGATAAGGAAATTGGCGGTGCTTGAAGAGCGAATGGAGCTGCAGAGATTTCTTGTGTATCGCAATGGCGCAGCAAGGAATTAGAAGTCTAGACCAAGGGAAAGCCGGTTCAGCCAGGCTTCTCACAAGCTTGGGTGAAAAGGTAGCTTGTCGACCAATGCGACACGTCCTGATTGCGGTGATGGGTGCGTTTGGACTCGGCGATGCGCTTCCCTCCCAGTGCTGAAGATGGAGCGACTGTTAAGTTGGCACCGCGACGGACTGCGAGGCGCCTCAACGCGTACGCGCGTTAGAACCCGAAAGCAAGCTGAGCGCAACTGGGTTTCGCGATCTCAAGGCGGAGACGAAGACGTAATCTGCTCGACACTGCTTGGAGCTCGTCGATATAAACAGAGGCGAGCTAGGGATGCTGACGGACAAACTGCGAGATTCCTAAGAATCGGGATTCCAAAGTTCTGCATTGCCATCTGCAGTATCCACTACGTGCGCTAGGTGGCAGTTGGCATTCTCATGGCCGTGCACCAACTAACTGCGTAGGTAAGGTTGGTAGAGATAAGATAGAAGGCCTAAGACCCAAGTAAATAGGTACCTAGGTGCCTTAGTATGGGCGCCTACCTACCTCAACAAGATAGGTGTCTAGGTAAGGTAAGGTACCTAGGTGGTACAGGTGAAGGCTATGTACTCGCTACTGTAAAATATTCGCTCTAAATGCAAAGAAGCCTCGATACCTGCACAAACGGTGGTAACCCTGGTTCGATGCCAAAGTACACCTTGCGTTTTAGTCACTCGATTAGGGTGACACGATACGGCAGCTTCAAGCTTCCCAGCTGAAGATGTTTTTATGACTTGAGCTTTTTCCAATTTGGCTTCTCATTGCCACATCCACTGCTATTGCCATCTCCTGCACAATTTCCCTGTCGTCAGTGGCCTCGCTTCAAACCTTCAATGGCTGAAGTTTGAAGGGACAGCATGTTTTCCATTTCCACTGCACCGGCAAAGCAGTCGGTCGGCGAGACCATCACCGTCTTGAGTGGCCGTCTCAGCTCCGCAACCTTGCTCGAAGATCGTCGCGCTGCTATACTTGGCCTACGCAGCTTTGCCAAAGACTTCCCCGCTTCTGTCGCCTCCGGAGCTCTGCGCAGTCTCATAGGCAGCTTGAGCAAGGATGCCGAAGACGTTGATACCGTCAAGGTGGTCCTCGAGACCTTGCTAATGCTTTTCAGCCCCAACGAAGATAGCCCAGAGGCCTCGGAGGAAATTGCGCTTTGGCTCGCTGACGAATTTACCATGCGCCAGGAGAACATTACCCTGCTACTCGACTTCCTAGACTCCAGCGATTTTTATTCCCGACTCTACTCCTTGCAACTCCTAGCTGCCATCCTGTCTGCCCGGACAGAGCGGACTGAGGAGTGCGTCTTTACGGCTCCATTAGGCATATCTCGTCTGGTGGCTGTATTGGACGACTCCCGCGAAGCCGTCAGGAACGAAGCTATCACCCTTCTCACCTATTTGACCCCTTCATCGACTGACATCCAGAAACTCGTCGCCTTCGAGAATGCATTTGACCGCCTATTCAACATCATCATATCCGAAGGCTCCTTGTCCGAAGGTGACCGTGTTGTGGAGGACTGTCTGATTCTCGTTGCCAACCTGCTCAGGAGAAACCCATCCAACCAGTCTCTGTTCCGCGAGTCTGGTGGAATTCGCCGGTTGGCCGTCTTGCTGGAGGGTGCGGGAAAGGCCCAGCGGGAGGAGGCAGAGGTTGCCGCATGGGCACAAACCCAACGCAATCGGAATATATATGCCCTTTTGGCTGTGGTACGCCTATTCCTAGTCTCTGGGGCTGTGGGAACAGCGCAGAATCAGCTTGCTTTCTGGCAGCACGGCCTGCTGTATCATGCTCTTCAACTGGCATTTAGCCGCGTAGCCCAGCTTCCAATCAAAGCAGAGGTTGGTCGTTTCCCGTCAGCTACGTCATTGGTGCCGTCATGTTAAATATCTTGTGCCTGCAGGCTCTCGAAACCTGCGCCGATATCATCAAAGGCAACGCCAGTCTACAAGAAGGCTTCGCTCAGCTCCAAGTTCCTTCACCTCTCGATTCACACATCCCAGTCGAAGTTAGCCAAGCAAACAGCGCCTTCCAGGTTTACGTGATAGACGGTCTGCTGGATTTGGCACTCAGTATCGAAGATACCGAGGCATTCGACTTGCGCTTGGCGGCGTCCGACTGCCTCAAGGCTTACTTCTACAGTCATGCAGACATCCGTCTGCATTTTCTCAGAAGGGCTATCGAAGGGCACAAAACAGGCGCGGATGAGACAGCCAACGTACTCACGGTACTTTTGCGGCCGTCTCCAAACACCAATACCACTAATCCCTACCGCAGCTGGTTTGCTGCTACCATCATGTTCCACCTTGTCTTTGACAATCCGGAAGCTAAGAGCCTAGCTATGGCCGTTACAGAGGGCGACGCGGAAAGTGGCGAGGAAGTAGTCACAAGCATTCAAATCGTTGCCGCACACCTGATATCTGGTCTGAATCGAGAGGGAGACAGTCGCGTGGTGGTTGGATATCTAATGTTGTTGCTCGGTTGGCTTTTTGAAGACCTGGACGCCGTCAATGACTTTCTTGGAGAAGGAAGCAACACCCAAAGCATCATTCAAGCAATCAATCATCCGTATCCTTCAGGCGAAGTCGTTCAAGGGCTTTGCGCCATGCTTCTCGGCGTGCTGTACGAGTTCTCGACTAAGGACTCGCCCATTCCGCGCACAGACCTTCACTCCATCTTGGTGTCGCGAATGGGACGCGAACGGTATATCGACAAACTGTCCAAGCTGAGAAGCAATCCGTTAGTCAGAGACTTCGAAGTCATCCCGCAGACGCTGGGCAATTCAGGGTCCGGCAAACTGCCTGATGTCTATTTCGATGCTACTTTCGTCGAGTTTTTCAAAGACAACTACAGCCGTATCTTGCGTGGCATAGACCGAGATCCTGGGTTGGAGATATCTGTTGTTTCTAATGGCGTGCAGAAGGGTGTTTCGCGCGAACTTGTTGATTCCCTTCGGAGCCAGTTGGCTGAGAAGGACCAGGCATTGCAGGAAGCACAGGTAAGCATCGAAACTGTAGGCCGGCAGATTGGCCAAGAACAGGCAGATCATCGGCGAACTCGAGAAAGCTCTGCTTTGGAGCTGGCAAGAATGAAGCAACTGAATGAAGGATTACAGCGGCAGCATGACGCGGAGCTTCGGTAAGCTCTATCCCGTAATCGATGGGAGAAGAAGGCACTGATACCCAAGTCTAGGACTCTGCAGAACAGAATCACGGCCTTACAAGAAGAACACCAAGAGCAGATGGACCAGGCCCGGCGGCAGATTGAATCTCAAGTCGCAGCACTGGAGAAGGAACACAAAAGGCAGTTAGCGGATGTTCAAAATCAGGCAGAAGGCCGCGTCTCTGCTCTGGAAAGGGAGCACAAGAAACAGATGGCAGAGATCCAAATTAAGACGGACCGCCGGATCGCAACTCTCGATCAAGAGCGCAAGGCGATTGATCAAAGACAAAAAGAGGAGATGGATCGGATACAGAAGGAAATCAAGGCTCAGGTGGCTGCTCGAAGTGAAGAGCATCGCAAACAATTAGAACATGCAAGGAAGACGGCGGAAAATGATGCCGAACGCATTCGGCACCGAGCTGAGGCCGACATGGCTGATCTCAAGGCCACTATCAGTCGGCTGGAGGTTGACCTTATGAAGGTGAGACTCTTCATGCTAGTCCGTCGTCCCGACTACGACTTACCTGTGTTAGGCCAAGAAGAACAAAACGCAAGAGATGCAGGCATTCCGTGATGATTCTACTAGAAAACTACAAGCGCAAGAGGGCCTCATCAGAAAAGCCGAAAGCCGCGGAAAGCAGCTGGAGAATGAGCTCAGGGAGACTCGGGAGAAGGCCATTCAGGTTGGTTCTATTCATGGAATGCGCGTCTATACACATTTACTGATGGGGACGGCTCTAGAGAGAGGCGGCTGTCCGAAAGGCCGAGGAAGACAAGCAGGCAACACAAAACGAGCTTGATGACCTGCTCATGGTGTTTGGCGATTTGGAAGACAAAGTTGCGAAGTACAAGGTTTGTTCTCCGGTTACAGAACTAGGCCGCTTGCTAATGATTCTTGTTTTGTTATTTCATCAGGCTCAACTCAAAGCACTCGGCGAGGCTGTCTCCGACGGAGAAGAAGAGGAAGAGGATAGTGATGAAGAGGATGAAGATGATGAAGAGAACGATGCCAAAAGTGAAGACGCGAACGGCGCCAAGACATAGTTACATGCTGTATCGTCGAAAGCGCCGCCATTACTTAGGGATGAGTAAATCCAACCGTCTTGAGGCAATGTTCGGTATCATATTCGAGTCTATATAGTAGTCCGTCACAGAAGGTGAGACTGGTGTTATTCGCTTGTGCGTGTCTACCTAGTCTACTTTCAACTGCGACTCTACTGTGATTCGACACCGAGATACGCGCATACTCAACGTCCACTTTCTGATAGGCATGTGAACGCCGCTGGGTATACGCCTTGACGTCTTTAGTATTCCAGCAAAATCCTTCTGCTGAAACCCAACGCCGCCCACGGTAACCTCTTGGTCTCAATGTCCCATAGTCTGCCAAATCGAAATTATCCCGGAACCGAGAAACACCTCTACCGCAGCTTCCATAGTTGCTTTTTCTCTCCTTGGCCAGACACAGTCCATGTGTTGCCGATGGTTAGGGCTCGTGGGTTGTTTTCGGGTGCCTTGAAGACGATGCGACCCGAGACATCAGTCCCGGCTTTAATTTCGATGTTGTCTTCCAGAGATTTGCTCATCAGGAAACCTTGCTTCCAGTGGGTGGCGGGGCCGAAGGGGCCAGTGGTAAACGCGATCTCGCCGGGGCGCGTTGCACTTGACTCGCCAAGCTTGACATGCAGGCTCGCCGGAACAGTGTCCTTCCGAGAAGTAGTAAAGAAGATATCAAACCAAACCAAGAATCCGTCGAGTGAAGGAATGTCCCTCGATAAGGTGGACTTCCACGGGGCCTCAAAATCGAGCTCCTCGGTTTTGATGCTGTGCAAATCCTGAAATGCGATCTGCGTTGCAGAGCCGCAAACACAGCTTTCGGGCATGACTTCGATGCGCGCCTCGTCGTAGATGCCAGTCTTCATAGACTTCATGTCAAAGCCGTAGACGTCGTCCCAGAAGGTGATGAAATCTGTGACATACTCGGGGTCCGACACGGGAGCAGCCCAGATGGTCGAGACGCTAGGGACAAGCAGACCGTCAGGCTTGAGGTAGCGGTCTCTGGCCCAGAGAACGCTAGGTAGCATGGCTTCATATAGGAGACAGTATCCCATCCATTCACTGATGATGATGTCCACCTGATCCACCGGAAGGTCAATTTCCTCGATCCTTCCCCGTATGCAAGTGATTTGATCTGTGAATCCGTTATGGAACACATTCTCTCGGGCCTTGTCAATGATGTCCGATTTATCAACCGCAAAGACCTTGGCTGCACCAGCCTTGGCGCAAAACATGCTCAAAATACCTATTGTTGGATGGGCATTAGATTTCGAGAGCAAAGAGCGACATAGGTCCGCAGCTTACCGGTTCCGCAACCAATATCGAGAACAGTCTTTCCCGCAAACAGATGCTTGTTGTTGTAGACAAAATCGCGATATGCATCTGTCCGAATGGTATCCTTGAGCATGGTTTCATGAATATCTATCTGGGTGTTAATGAAGTGGTTGAAAGCATACCTCGCGGGATGAAATTCTGTGAGGCTTTCGATATCCACGAACTTACCATTGCTTGCGTATGATTCCCAGTAGTACTGGGACTCGTCCTTGCGGGCCTCCTTATCGACTGAACGGTCCCGACGGCTCCTGTTTGGAACATCTTCTCCCCAACGCTGATCCAACGTTTGTTCGACGGCCAAGCGGTAGCTGGCGAACTGTGCCTTGACTTTCTCCAGATCGCCCTCAAGTTGAGCTTCCCGGCTTGACTTCGACTGCAATTCTTCCCGAGGGACACCTTGAGAATCAGAGCCAAGATCTAGCTCCGTTAGTGCCATGATCAGAGCGTCATCCTCGATGACGGGCTTGAAGAAGCGATCATCAGAGATGTGCTCAACAGAAATAATTTCGGGCAGACGAGCACCATCGTGAGTGTTTTGGCGGACTGCGGCGGCGATGTTAGCTTGGGAAGACGCCGCTGACGTCCATGAGGTGAGCGCTGTGAACGTAGTTGTCTAGAAACTCACCAAAGTTGACGAGCCTTACAGTGCCGAGGAAGTCGAGGCCGAGCCGGCGACGGACTTCAAGGAAATCGAAATTGTGCTTTTCGCGGCAATGCTGCAACATGGAATCGAGACTGGGAAAAACGGAGTCGTCCAGCAAAGAGATGAAGTTCACGGTCTCTTCCTCCTCAGGCTCGGCATCTTCCCAGTCAGACTCATCCGATGAAATGTCCGACTCGGGAAGATTCTTCTTGTCGAGCTTGTCATTAGCCATAGTGAAAGTCAGGCAGGGTAGTTTGCTTGGGTGTGTTCCAAGGATGCGTCCTCAGTTCTAGTTGTCAAATTTTGTCGTCGGTCGATGGTCGTTGCTGGTGAATATTTTCCGTCGTCCACGCCGAATGTGTGGGCCTAATTGGGGCAGGCCGTGGATGGGCCTGCCCACGGATGCCAATGCGGTAAGTTGAGTAACAGGGAAGCTGCAGCCAACGTGCCACCGTGCCTACCATGCGTAGGTAAGTTGGAGTCACTTTTTGTGCGCTGGTCCTGTCAAACTGGGCCTACCCAGCCACCGGCTGCCGTTTGGTTGTCCCTTTCCGGTCCCGTCCCGTTCAGTCCAGTTGAAGGCCGGTTGTTCTTCGGGCGCAAGCTTGCAAAAATGCCAGCCCCGAAGGGCAGGCACATGAGATACGAAGGTAGGTGACAGGGCGATCCTAACAAGTTCAACTACCCTGCCCAAGTAATTATCAGTTGGGTACACCATAAACAACATATCCCAATAAATTGCCTTCCTAACTTTATGTAGGCTTCCTTCTGTTTCAGCTGCGCCTGGAACGGAGGTGCCGTTTGAACCTAACGCACCTGCGCTTGCCTCTCCCCCCCCCCCTCCGCCTTATATCAGCCTCCACTGTCGTCTCCTCCACTTGACCCGAATCACACCATAGACCTACCTACCTAGTAATGCGGCACACTAAGGCTCTGCAGCACAAGATTGACGATACTCAGGAAGCCCTCTCCTAGAATGAAGCCCTGCAGTAAGCACACAGCGTCAGCCGAGAATCTAAACCACCACGCTGCGCAGGACTAATACGCACTGACGCAAGCACAATCAATGGTGTGCTGGACTGTCCTCGCCGCGAGATCCAGTACCAGCTGAGCAAGCCGCCGACCGTTCGTGCCAATGTGAAGGATGGAACGTTGTACATTCCTGTGCATCTGTCAGAATCCATTTCCGCCTCCACGTTCTTTTCAATCAAACCCTGGGTAAACTTACCCACAGCCACTGCGATTCCGCCCGGTACAAAAGACCGCCATCCTTTGCCAGTCGCCGTTGTCCTTATCATAGTCGTGATGGCAAAAATAATGGCAAAAGCAAATGCCCATTCCCTAGCCTTCGGTGGCAGACCTTTCCCAGTAACGAGTCTGGCGGTGAAGATCCAGACGTAGCCCGTCGGGACCTGGAATAGATCACCAGGAATTGCATAGACCCTGTACCAGTCGATTGTTAGCCTTCCACTTCTGCCGAGACGGTGTAGAAAGGCGGGCAAGGAATACAGATACACTCACGCCGCGTATAATTGGTAGACAAGGGCGCTCACGACAGCACCAGCCGTTGCGCCAATAACCTGTCCCCAAAACTGAGCATTAGGTGCGGCACCGAGAAGATGACCAGTCTTTAAGTCCTGCATGAGGTCCCCGGCTTGTAGAGCACCCTGGAAATCAAGTTAGTTGTGCACTTAAAGATGTCAGGGTTGCTTTTCAACCACACTCGACGTACTGCTTCGGACTGCGTGAGCATCATGGTTAGCGTTGCTTTACTTCATCTTGTTGGCATACTTACCACTGCACCCGCCACAAGGTTGATCAATACACTAGACTTATGCGACTGTGGTATTATAAGGGCAAAGAACAGCTGCGCCAGTTTACTGATTCCCGACACAGGATTTAAGTCCGTCTCACCCAGTGCTCTGACGCCCATAATGCTGAGCAGAAGGGCCATGAGAACAGCAACAATGGTCGCATAAAGCGGGACAAGATCGCCAAAGACGATATGGATCGTCATGATGCAGAGAAGAACAGATAGAATAAGCCCCACTGAGACCAGACGATTGCTAATCTGTTGCTCAGGTGGTGCGTCTGCATCGTCTTCCTCCGCGCAGTTGTCAGGCAAAACCGAAGCTCTGCGACGCACAATCGTGTTTGGTCCTTGGTCAGGCAGAAGACGCGACGTGCTGGTTGCTTCTGTCTCCTCTTCGGTGCTCAAAGCCGAATACCCTTGCCTAGATTGGTCCTGGGACCGGACAAGCTTCCGCCAGATGCGCAATGCTCGTTGCGAAAACGTATTGCCGGTAAAAATACTCAACCGATGGTAGAGTGGCCGAAAGGCGATATAACCAAGGCTCACAATGGCATCAGCAAGCATAATAGCCAACGAGACCCATACGATCCAGCCTTTACTTCCAGTCTCCCAGTCATCAATCGAGCCAGGTGCCCATCCATTGTATTTGGCCAGAGGTGAGAGAATACCCCAGCCCACTGCTGCACCCAGAAGCATATGCAGGGTGGTCTCGGGTCCCATAATGATTCCTTGCCCTATGTAAGCAGGGCTCGGATTGAGTGTCCACAGCCAGATGCTGGCGGCTTCGGTCCCAAAGACGGGAATGTTGCGCAGGCTGGGTAGGAAGTAAGAGCAAAGCGTATAGAGACCCGATACTCCGAAGCAAATCAGCAGCAACCTCATGTTCCCGGCCCAGTCCTGATGAACATCAGGTTCCGACCCGGCGGCGCGGCCATGTTCGGCATCTGTGCCTGTGGCGGTGCGATTGTTGTCCATGACAGTCGCCTCGTCAGGGTCCGGCACCAGACTCGCAAACCCACCAGCTACAGTGTCCTCCGACCCGCCTGAATTTGAGATACGTGTCTGTCCGTGTAGCACGCCAATGAGCACGGCTGTGCTGAAGCCACTCGGAAAGCGCAGCCTTTCGCGAATGATGACCTGCCGACGTCTAACTAATGTTAACAAGAAAGCGAGGACAACCCGAAGGTGGAAGGAATCATTGGGGCTGTCTCACAGAGGAACGGCGAAAACGACACCGAAGTAACATAGACCTAGGGACCATAGGATCAACCTCCATAGGCTGATATGGAGTGGCCCTTGCTCATCGGTCGTGAGAAGGTAGTTCATGGCGGGGATCTGCATTCATGTTCAGCCGTGTCTACTTGTGTTGGAACCATTACAATAGATGACTTGACCTATTGCAAGATGGCGAAAGTTTTCCTTCGGTTATGATGACGGGAAGACATACAACACCGACGAAGCCACATCCGAGAGGCATAATGGCCATACTCCCCGCAACAGTCTGAACAAGGACGTTCTCGACAGGGCTAAATGGAAACTTTAAGTGACGCGCGAGCGCCTTGAAAATGCCAAACCCCATCAGGCTGGCGGGCATGGTCATGGTGCTCACCCAGCCCGTCTGCAATCCAAAATACATATTTGAGAAGCAGATAACCAGGCCGACGAGCAAACCGACCACAACGCCGCGGATCGTGAAACTGCGGCCCTGTATGATCGGATTTTTCTTGAAAGAGTCTCCGCCGCTATTGCCGCCAGCGGGTGTCGCGTCAACAGCAAGTTGGCCATCGTGGTAACCCCGATTTGGAGCCATGGTAGCCGTCACTGTTCCCTGGTCGATAGAGAGACAGTCTATGGGGCGGAGAACTGATGAGAGCCGATGAAAACCACGTAAGTGCCTCGGTACGAGGGTGTTGTCGACGTGGCTGAAGGGTATGATGATGGCGATGTCAATTTGCTAACCAACCCGATGTCTGAAGCGCTCCCCCAGCGACGAAACCATGCATGAGGTGGTGGCAGGTTGCTTGCAAATGAAGGGCCTGAGGAAGGGGTAATGAAGTCCAAAGCGGGCAGAAATGACTTTCGTACTGTTCTTTGGTTAAGTCAATCAAGTGAGATAAAGTGCGGTCGCAAACCTTGCTCGTGCAGGAGAGATCCTCGAAACGGCATGGGTAATCCGGATTCGTATCCGCAATGGATCGCTTTTCTTTTGATCCAAACCCCCAAGTTTGTCCGTGCTTGGTCAGAATTGAAGCACGTCGCGACGTGTTGAAGGCCCATCCCTACATTAAGATTATGCCCGCCAACCACGCTAGTCCGGCCCGGAACTCGGTAAAGTGACGTGCGAGCTCTTCCTGTGTGGCTTAGTAATATTCATGACTGTTCCCTCGTCTACCAACTAAGTGATCGGAGTTGGTCAAGGCTGCTTTAACGACAGCCTGACGCGGCATGCGTTCTGTTTCTGATATTGCACGAGTAGTATATGCCAAAACGATAAATCTACAACTCGATTTTCGCTATGTGAATGCCTCGCCTTCCTGGTTCATGCAGCGCGGCGGATCCCCCCTTTATACTACGTGACCCATGTTCGTACGTCGACAATTAGAAACCGAAGCTATCAAGCAGTGAGCTTGAGTCCGGCTCCTGGAAGACTGTCGGCGCTGCATCCTTGCTCCTGTTCACGCCAGATCTCATCTCCACATGAAGAGGCGACATTGGGAGATCTGCAACGACCAATGAACTACGGCGACGCAGCAGCTTCAGCGGATTGATTTCGCCGCCCAGCCCGTTCGTTGTGCTTATGGCGGATTTCAAGAACTCCCAATTACGGACTGCCATTTTGTTAGTTTTTCGTATCCGCATGTCAATGTTGCATTCAACCGTACCGAGATCTAAGCCGAGTAGGTCGCAGCCCATTCGGTCGTACAGCTTCGCACTATGTAGCACAAACTCCCATTCTACGCGGGGAGTGACCTTGGAGGCCCCGCGAAGCGTCTGCAGCGTCTTTTGTCGCAGCTGGGCATACAGAACCACTAGAGCCGGGTCGTCTGTGAGGAACAACTTCGATTGCATGTCAGGGGTATATGGTGTTTCGATCAAGGTATACACGGGTGACTGTGCCATGGATCCAAACGTGGTTAGTAATCGATCAGACACGCCGGGGCTAGCTGATGGGGGGAAGCAACAACTCACAATCAAGGCCCTTACAGCCATATCTTTGCGATTTAACATCCAGAAAGTCCAAGAGGCGAGCCAACGATTGCCTTCCCTGGCCGCCAGTGCAAGCACCTCTTCTTCCAATAGCTTCCTTAGAACCGGTCCCTGATCTCCTTCGTAAACCCTTGCAATGGCAACTGCGCGCTGGAGATCCCTCAACTGATTGAGACAAACATTGACGGCGTCCTGAAGATGATCCGCTAGCAGGAAAAATGCGGCCGCGTACTCTGTCGGACCAAACGTCAGCAAGTCGTGAGCGGCTGCACACGTGCACATGCAGGTACTCACCGAACCGACGCTTGCTGAGCAGAGCATAAGCGTTCTTGAGAGCTTTTGTCCGCCACACTGGATCATCAAAATTGTTCGCGAGGAAGCGCTGAGTCGTAGCCTGTTCACGATTTCCGTATGCCATGCGCCACAGACCCTGGAGCACCGTTTTCTTCTTGAGAGCCAAGTAATACAGACTGCAATCGACCGGGTTTTTCGCGTCACTTTTGGTGTATTCGTTTCGAGCAACATTTTCAAATTGCGCTCGCTGTAACTCCATCAGCTTCGGGGGTGGTCACGCATCACCTGATTAGTGTTCTTACCAACGCATTGTGATCACCGAGCCACATGAACATGCCGCTTTCTTTCGCATCTTCCCAGCGAATGCAGCTGTGACACTGTTTCGTGACAAAGTCAACAAGAATGTCCTGACTCGTGGAATGGTAGGCCCAGTTGATCTCTCTCCAGGACATCTGGATTTCGCTCGTCCGGCCCTTCCGTAGGGCATGTTGGCGGAAGAAGAGCATAAAGCGAGCTCCATTTTCATCCAAAGATCTACGTTGTTTCTCAACGAGCCCGGCACACTCGACAATGTCTGCCAACTGGATCTGCTCATGCCCAGAGAGCTGTTCAATATCGACCTTGGTCAACCGCTCGTTGATTGCATAAGCAACGTCTTCAGTAAAATTTTCATCCTCTTCATCCGCAGCTGCCTGGTAATCAAAGTGAGAACCAATTTGCGACCCGGACCCATGCATTGCTGATGCCTGCCATTTTCTTCAGTCAGCATTCAATGGGATGCCTCTTGGCTAAAGGAAGGTTGGTACCTCGTCCTGGTAAAACTCAGAGGGATCGAGTCCAAGGTAGTCGTCGATGGGTTCATCCGCGACGTGAAACTTGAGTGTCTTGTACAAGGACATGAGCACCTTTCGCACCGCTGCACTCTTTCCTGCAAGAATGCTCTGACTCAGAAACTGTGGGTGAAAGAGTGGCAGTGGACCATTGAATCGTTGAACAGCTTCAAACAAATCCCATACACCATTCTTTCTATGGGGAAGCTGTAAGCTCTTTACCAACGAGCCAGAAAGATCATATTCTCTTCCGTGAACAAACATCTGGTTGCCAGAACCGATAACAAGATGCCCATCACCAAGCCAGGTCGAATCGCCTATGGGATGGGGAGTCAGCTCTCGAATGCTGATCTCTCGCACAGCAGCCCACGCCGGTCCTTTATTGAGATAGTCAAAACGCATTTGACATAATAGAACAACCTTGGACTGGAACCCCACCGCCAGTATTGACTGTGAGTCTGGAGTGGATGTCCAGTCCAGGTCCTGAATTATGTTGTTAGTTCCGTAGTTTTGTGTGAATTCGAGTCGAGCAGCTCCGATGTCCCAAATGGATAGCTGGGACCTGGTCGAATCGACAAGTGCCGCTTTCTTGAGTGTACTGCCGCTCACCAATGCTGGCTCCGAAAGCCCCGTTTCGGCTGAACACGTTGAAAGCCATCCAACCCTGTCCCCTGTACAATCGACACGGGCTGTCCAGAAATCAACTCGCCCAGAATGCGTGTACGAAATAGCAATATCCTTAGCAAAGACGTCAAGAAAGCCGGATGTGACAGGTGCAGAACCTGCCGGGTCAACAGGCAAAACGTAGGCAAGACCTTCGATATTGTTTAGTTGAAACCTGCAGTACTCCTGTATCGAACATTCATCGCGCCCGTTGACATAAGTTTCGGACCCTCGACGTGAATACTGGGGGAGATTGACCTTCCAAACGAGACCCTGCCGTTCCGAGGTGACAGTTGCAATGTGGGCTACTGCGTACTCCTCGTGTGGCTGCCTAGGCAGTATCACCAAACACAGAGGCTTGCCGGCAATCTCATAGGACTGACGTTCCAATAACGTAGCCTTTTGCAACCGGCAATCCCAGAGACATATGGTGTTATGCTCCAAAAAAATGACAAAGCGGCCTTTTCGGAGGACACATATACGGTGAATATGTCCACTACCTGGAATGACACTCTGCCGCGATAATCCTGATTTGGTGTTGCCATTATGAGTCCAGACGATGCTTTCGCCTTCCGCTGTCCTGGAAACCACTGCTCGCCCGCTAAAATTTCGGACCATCTTCTTGATGGGAGCCGAGTGCCCAGACCACATACATTGCCGAGAAAGGCATTTCTGGTCGGCTGTCGGGCTGAGAAGGTCCACCAAGTCAGATTCGTAAACATGTATTTGGCCCTCAAAGTCGTGAAACAAGATACGTAGTCGCCCAGTCCGCCGGTCACAATAACTTTGTAACACAACGTGCTGGCTGCACATAAAATCGAGGTCTTGCGGCTTGAATCGGGACAAGTTCGCGGCCGGGGACTTGCTGGATTTAGACCCTACGTCTTCTAACACAAAGACAGCCGTTTCCCCAGCACTGTTGAAGGCGACACATAGCTCAGGGCTCTTGTTTGCAAGGGAAATCAGGTGCTCAAGAGCGTTATCTTGTTCTCCGTTCTGAATCGGGCGGCGTTGTACAGCTAGCTCCGTAGCAGCGGATACGTCCCTGCCGTCGATGACGAACGCCAGAAATGTTGTAGGGGGGCTGAGACTCTGCTCCCGGAACGCCGAAGCCAGATCAATGGTCCCCCACAGATTCAGTTGCTGGGGGGCATGGGGGTCGGACCCAGTCCAAATGCGAATCTTGTTGTCGACACATGCAGTATAAAGCACGTTTGGGACAGTTTGTTCGATATGATATGGTTTTCGCCATCGGATACTTGTTACAACATCTGGGTGTCGCAGGTAGGCCAAGTCGAAGCGCACGTCTTCCGCGCCGTACGTAAGACGGCGCCACACCTTGACAAGGCGGTCTTGAAAGCCAACCGATGCGATGTACGCCGAATCGTAGGATATTTCTGCAAGCTTGGAGGGGTTCGGGAGGGTTTTCGTCCATATGCTGTTTGGCTCGCCGGCCGTCGAATACATGCAAAGGACAGAATGAGCTACGAGGAGCTCTTCGGATGTGCCCCAGCTCAAAATGGTATTGTCGACAGCATCTCGAAGGCCGGGTATAAGGAACGTAGACTGGAGTCCCCACTATCGCAGACACATAGGATTAGCGATGGGTCGCTTCAAACTACAGAGCACAGTCTACAGAGCCAGAGCAAGCTAGTCCAGGGCTGGATCGGAAACATACCTTTAAAGCGTCCTCTGACTGTCCAAATGGCTTGTAAACTCTGATGATGGAGTCGGTGCAAGTTGCGATCTTTCCAGACCACTCGTCGAATGCAACGGCTTGCAGATGAGATGGGTCTTCATCGTAGACGGTTTGGACAATGGTGCCTGGATCGCACAGGATGGTGAACGCGCTGCCCGTGATATAGACCTACAGGGACGCATATCAGCGGAATAGGAGTAAGCGAAGGCGCCAATGGCTCACGTTGAAGTGCCTCGAGTCCCAAAAGCCCGTCGCAAGAGCGTAGAGCCCAGGATTGGGCCTGCCTGGGAGGATTGCTCTCATCCTACTAGCACGAGACTCGCAGCCACATTGCTCGGGAAAGCAGGTCGCGGTCGTTGCCCGTCGCCGACGGAAACTTGGTCGGCACAGCGCTGAGAAATATTGGGGCAGGCGATGGCAGAGGTCGTATATGAAAGCCACTGGATATGGCGCGTTTAGAATGGGTTCTGAGACGCGTAAGGTTCATGCAAAAAAGGACGGTCTTTTAGGAGCGAGAACAAATGAGCGGTTCTTTAGAGGGGTACAACCTCGAGTAGGTCGGCACCAAGGTAAGGCAAATTAAGGGAAGGCAAGGCAGGGTAGGGAGGTATCCGTAGGTAAGTAGGAAATGGTGCGGCAAGGTACGTAGCTATAGATGTCTGGTGACGGGTCTCGGGGAAGCTTCTAGCGATAAGATAACGTTGGAGAATGACGCCAGCTTGCAGAATGACCATCTGAGCCATGGTTGGCCAATGCCTGTCGACGAGGGGCAAGTGCTTTTGTCGCATATTTTCCGGAGTTGGAAACTATGCATCTCAACCTGTCTCCTTATTTTCCTTTCTTTATTCATCTTTGTTGGCGGCCGGCCGTGACAAGCAACGTCGATACTTGCACGTCCCAGGTGGCACAATGCACGTTGGCCCAGATAGTACGTCTTTGGCTCAAATCAGTCGGGTATACTAATAAACATTTTTCCAAGACAAAACACGACGTCAATATCCACCAGAAACCATATCATGTAGCCTGAGTTCCAACCCTCTTTAATCCACTTGACCCAACGCCTCAGGCCGACTGCCATTTGCCCGTCGCATACTCATGTCGGCTGTGGAAAGCCTCTGGGCTTGTGCGAAAGAGAGCCTGCTCAACTGACCAGCCTGGGCTGGTGGCACACTCCTGTTGTACCGCTCTCGAAGCTCACGTTCAAACGGCGTTGGCAAAGGAGCAAATGGCGTCATGGATGGTAACTGCACCGAGGATGCCATCCCTGTCCAACGTGTTGGTGTGCTCACGATGACTCCGTCCGCGTCGGCTCCTGAACCTCCCCCATCTTGATCCTCCTCCTCTTCAACCGTAGGGCCCATTTCTTGGCGTTTTGAGGCTCTGAACAGCCCTGTCCCCGGCCGCTCGTGTACTGTCCTTGATAGCTGGAAAGACTGACGACTCATGCCGAGTCCAGTGCTCTTCCGTGAGCTCCCAAGGCTTGCTCTCATCGCGCTCAAATGTTGTGACCTGGTCATGTCTCCATCTCCTTTCCAATGGTGAAGAAGACGACGAACGAGCTGCTTCTTATTCCTTTCTCTGACATCTGTGGCAACATATTCCCTGCTCTTTAGTTGAAGTACTGTAGACTGCCATTGACCCCAGTATCGCATTTTTAAGGTCTCCTGCCAGACTTCCTTCGAGCGACCGTGCACGCTTTCATGGTCTTGCGAAATGATATGCCACTCGCCGAGCCATGCGACTGTAATGAGCCTGGAAGCACCCCGATCGCGGCTGCTGTCCTTATACCAAACGTCCAAGAAACCAACAACACGATTCCGCTTCTCCATACTGTGGTGCTTAGTCGCTTCCCAGCCAAGGTTGCGATGCACTCGGGCCAATGACTTCCAGCGACTCAGATTTTCCTTCGTTAAGGTGGCCTTAACATGTTGCCTGCATCGTGCGTAAGACCTTCGCGTTTGAGATCTCCAGACTCCCTTTGAGCGCCAGGTTTTCACCACTGTGTTGACGCTGGCGAAAAAATAACCACGCTGGGCCCATGTACAGAGATTTGAGCTATGCTGATTGCCGGCTTGCCAGGTATCGACCACGTGTCGTGCCGCTTGATGTTTAGCAGAGCTTCGCGATCTCTTACTAAACCGAGCCATGTCCAATGCTTGCCGGTGCCAGATGTCTAAAACCGTTGTCTTGAGCAATCTATGAGAATTGGCCAGAGGGGAATGCATGCCATGGGGTGTCTGTGGCAGCTTCGGATCGGCTTGGTTGATGTGCCTTCTGTGGCCGCTATACCCAGGTGTACCTCGGTGTGGCGGTAGTCGACAAGCGTTGTGCCATCTGCATATGGTATCGCGTACCAGATTGAACCCCATCTTGGCACGAAAGATCTCGACCCTTGTCTCTAGTTGCCAGTGGTCTAAGGAGTTCCGGACGACGCTGAGGCGCCGATGAGTTGCTACGCCGTCTTGGTAACATCGCATCTGTTGGTGCCAGGAATTGAAGGCAAAAGACCACCAAGTTCTGGTATTGTGTTCTTCTGTGTGTGCACAAATCACGCGCAAGGCTGAACAAGATAATCTCCATTGCTGGAGACAGAGAGCCTGTAATTGGGGCCGAACCGACAACCTCGTGACCGTTGAACATGAACCAGACCAGGCGGCCAGAACTCTTCCAGCTATACGGCGTGCAGATATTGTCACAGCCCGCTGCTCCATGACAACACCGCCGTCAGCCCATCTCACCCAAAGGGTCAGCAAGCGGGAAGTAAAGATACGACGCCCCTTGAGCTTGGCGTCTGCTGTCACCAACTCCCAGGGGTCAAAGTGGCGCATGCGCAAAATATGTCGTCTGGCCACGGCGGTTCTTTCATGCTTCTCGGTTGCGTAGGTCTCCCAATGTGATATTCCTCTGAGAATCTGCAGGTAACGAGCCGCTCGAGCCGCTCGTTTTTCCAGCCAGGCGTATCGTGCTTGCATCGCTAGGTCATCTTCCAATCCCTCATCGGGAGGTGTGGCTTGCCTAGTGAATAGGACGTTGTCACCAGAGGGTTCCTTTTGTGGAACTGGCGCTACCTCCTGCTGCTGTTGCTGTACTTTATGTCGTTCAATAATAGACGACTCCTGCCCAAGAATCTTTGAGTCAATGCTGGGCCGCTTGCTGGTCTCGTGCTGGACGACTGTCGAAATATATGGCTGACGACCGCTGACCTCATTTCTGGGGGGTTCATCAATGTACACCAGCTGTCGCCGTTGCTGCTGCTGCTGCTGCTGCTGCTGCTGCTGCTGCTGCTGTTGTTGTTGTTGTTGTTGCTGCTGCGGGTTTTGAGACGAATTGGATTGCTGGGATAGAGTGTAATGTTGGTACTGTTGATGTTGGAGGTTATCTATGTCGTTCTGGGCTACAAATTGTTGCTGATGTAGATTGCCATGCTGGGGCAAGTATTGCTGGGGCTGCTCGTGTTGAGGGTACTGGCCATGAGACATGTTTTGGTCAGGTGAGAATTGTGGCTGGTCTTTTCTTGGTGGACGTTGTTCGCTTTGTGCTTGAAATGGTTCGTAATGGATGTTTTGCTCCGCCCGTGAAGTTTCGTGTCCATCAACAATAGGCCTTGCTCCAACGTCCTCTGGCAGAAGCCAGTTGACTGTCCTAGCAGACTTGGGTCGGACAGGACGGGAAGCAGCGATGCTGACGTTCTTTCCCGCATCGTGGGCAACAGTCTCAACGGGTTGAATAGTGGTGTCGCTAGCCCCACGGTGCTCGTTGGAGCCAGCCACTGACCGTGGGCTCTTGTGACTCGGCTCCGTACCCGCAGCTGTGGATGGCGAGTGACTTTGGGATGAGTGCTTTAAGCGTTCGGAGAATTCAGGAGCGGGATGATTTGGCCTCGGAATTATGGGCATCAGCCTTTGGAGGTTTGCACGGTCGCCATTACGAATTGCCTCGTCTGGGGCAGTGATCGGCCTGAAGCGCCCCTGCTGTGGTGGCTGTATATGTTCCGAAGAGCTATCGTCCGTGGTAGCAAAGCTATGTTCGCTATTGAAGTGAGGAGGTGACGGTCGCACCGGAATTTCATGGTCTCGTTCATCGCCTGGGTCAGAAAGCGGTCTCGAACCTTCGCTGCGACTGTCGAACTCCAGCTCAATACCCATTCTCGCCAAGACATTGCGAAGTTTATCCAGAAGTGAACCGTCGCCGCGCTCGCCGCCGACTCGGAAGACCAAGCGCGAGATGTGATGGTCCTCCTCGGGATCGATACCGTAGTTTGGGAGAACAGCGTCGTATGCCTGAAACAGAGCGTTCGTCGCCAACCTCTCACCCTCGGGGAGAAGGTCGAGATTATCCTGGGCAGCCGTGACGACATCGTGGAGGATGGCAATTTCTGATTTTGTGTCAGTCGCAGAGCCATTCGATGGCTCTCAATTCGCCTGCAGAGGCTGTGAAATGTGGAAGAAAATCCTGGATATCCTTACCTTCGTTACTGTAGTAAGAGTCGGAACTTTGAATTGACGCAAAGCTGGATATGCCGTCACGAGGAGCCAGCGCTGGGCGATGCGGCAGTGACGGCATGTGAGTTGATGCCGTTCCGGTAGCATAATAAGATGGCAGGAGTGGCGATAGCAGCGACAGCGGTGGAAGAGCAGGAGGAGTTGTTGCTTGTGATCGTACGGGCGTGATTGGTGTTGATGGTGCGATTCCGGTCGCGATCGCAATCGTCGCGGGCTATCGAAAACTGGGGGTATCGTCAAATTTCATGGGCAAAAGGCGAAGGACCGCATGCAATGAACGCCGAATACATTTGGCCGCAGCGATATCCACAGAGGAAGAAACGAGGAGTATCGAAAGAGCTCGACCGACTTCCGTGGGCGAAGAAGGATAATGTACGGCGGCGAACGCAGCGCGTCGCGAAAAGTTGCAAATACAATGGCCAGGTACAATGGTGCAGCCTGACTGACAGCTTTGTCTATCGCGCGCGTCGGCGGTAAAGGCGGCACTAGCGAAGCTAGGACAAAACGCAAGGTATCCCTGGACACTACAAGCGACGCGCTGTCCTAAAGTGAATAACGTCTGGGAGGAATTCCGGGAGGACAGAGGGAAAAGCAGATCAGGAAAGAGGTTGAACTGCCCGAGCTGCCTCCCGTATTTCCTTCACTTCTTGTGTGTTTATTTAGAGGACCACGCCCAGCAACCGCAGTCGTATGGTCACCCATGGAAAGCAGCAGTTGGTTCACAATACCACCTAACCTACCTTAGGTACCTAGGTCTGGGTATGCGCTGTAGGGACCTCGAGGAGTGTACTGTGTAGGTACAAGGTACCTAAGGTATCTAGGTGGTGTAGCATCCTAGACCGGGCTGCAAACCAATGAGATCGCGACGGCTTCGTACCTAATTGGCCATTTTGTCGGCCCTCGCTGCCTTAGGTAATCAAGGACTGCCTAAGGTACCTAAGCTCGTAATCAGTTATTGAGGTTGATGTAGTAGAGTTCCGCTTCTAAAGCTTTTCGTAGCTTTTCTATCCTCGATCTTGCACACCTGCATCTGGAAATTGAACATTTCTTCCGCGAATCCACGTCGCGCCGAGGCACTATCACCATGAATCGTCCACGGCCCATTCAGAAGTTTGCTTCTGCCGTATCGCAATGCTCTGTCGAGGTCGGTTCCCCGCTCCATCGTAGACAACCCACATCTCTACTTACCTCATCCCCAAAGCCTTGATGCTGACGTGAGCAGACCACTTTGTACGGCAAGTGCATTGTCGCCGACTACAATTCCGTGCATAAGGACAAGTGTGTCAAGGAATTCCTCAGATTGAAAGACTGTTATATTGTACATCGCTACCAACCCACAGCCAGTTACGGCGGCTCAAAACACATCACTAACACATGCTGAGTTGTAGGCTGCGGCTCGTACAGCCAGATAGTTGCCGACACTACCCTTACGAAATGCAATATTCTGCAAAAGTCTCAATTTGATGTTCCACCTTTCTATTCTGGTCTTCTAAGGCTAAGGCGCTTGTTTGCCTGCACATGTGTCTTTCGCCCAGTGCTTCTTACCTTATGGCTACTTCCACGCCTTCAGCCGTCGCATCTTTACAACTCAAGCAAGCGGAGCAGGAAGGTCGCATGCTGCACCTCCTGCTCCTCCTCCGCAATGACTACTTTCTGCCCCAGGCCAGAGGCCTCACCCTCCACCTGCGTGACTTCATGTTTGTCCATGGGTCTGCGCAGCGCCTTCTCAATAGCCTTGCCTTGAGTCTGGAATACCTCTTCGAGTCCAATCTTATCGGGGTCGCTGATAATCTTGTACTCCATCTTGATATCATCGGTTGGCTGCAGTTGGGCCTTCTTCCGGAGGCGCTGGACGCGATTGATGATCTCTCGAGCGATTCCCTCGTGCGCGAGATCCACATAGAGCTCGGCGTCCAGGATCGTGAGTACATCGTTGTCTGAGTTCGTCTCCAGGTTCTTGGAAGCCTCATCCTCCCTCAGGCCACGCCTCACTACAAGATCACCGTCCTCCAGACGAATTCCGTCGACCAGGATCTCCTTCTTCTCCGAGTACTCTTTGACAGCATCGCTGCTGAGAGTCGGCAGCGCCTTCTTCACCCGCGCCATATCCTTCTTGAGCTTCTTGCCTAGAACAGGCCAGTCCGCCGTCACGCTGTATTGAACGTTGTACTTGGCCTCGTCTGAAGAAAGAACCAGATCTCTCACGTTCATCTCTTCCTTGATGTAGGATGAGAGAGATTCCAAGTCCTTCAGGTATTGAGGATCGCGGTGAATAACAACAAGTGTCTTCAGGGGCGTTTTCAGACCAATGGCCCTCCTCTCACGAGAGACGCGGACCAAATCGATGACTCTCTGCATTCTGCCCACTCTGCGCTCGACCTCCTCGTCGAAAAGTTCCTGACGCACATCCGGGAATGGCAGAAAGTGAATGCTACGTGGGTCCTCTGCGTCCGCCTCTCTGGGAATATACGGCCTGAGCTTTTGGTAGATGGTATCGGTGATAAAGGGTGTGAAAGGGGCAAGACCTCGGCACAGCGTGAAAAGCACTTCAAATAGGGTGTTGAGGGCATGCTTGGTGTCTTCCTCTCCATTCTCACCCTTGAGACGTCTTCTGTTGAGCTTGATGTACCAGTTGGTCGTGTTGTCAATGAGGCCAAGAAGTCGAGGGACAACGGTATACAAGCGGTACGCTACATGCAAGTCAAAGTGTCAGTGAAGTTCAACAGCTTCGGATATATGGATTGAACATACCATTCATCTCGTCGTTAACAAATTGGAGCAGACTCTGGCAACTTGCCAAGATCCACCGGTCCATCACATTGTCATTACTTGACTGCGTTTCTGGGCTCCAGACGTAGTCAACGCCCTCGACCTTCTTGAGCAAGGAAACTTGGCCCTCAAAAAATTTGTAGCTGTTCCAAAGCGGCAACAACACTTTCTGCACAATCTCCTTTACCCCGGACTCCTTGAAGCGCAAGGGTTCAGCACGGACGACTGGCGAGTTGATCAGATAAAGGCGAAGAGCATCCGATCCGTACTTGTCCATGACCAGGTCTGGTGCTGGATAGTTCTTGAGACGCTTCGACATCTTCTTGCCATCCTCAGCGAGAACGATGCCGTTGACAACGCAGTTTTGGAAGGGGATCTTTCCAAAGAGATGTGTACCGAGAACCAGGAGAGTGTAGAACCAGCCTCTTGTCTGATCCAGGCCCTCCGCAATGAAATCACCAGGGAAGGATGCGTTGAACTTGTCGACATTCTCGAAAGGATAGTGTTGGCTGGCGTAAGGCATGCTGCCAGATTCGAACCAGCAATCGAAGACTTCCTCCACGCGCCTCAACTGTCCCTTGCCCATTTTACTGGGGATGGTAATGTGGTCAATGTTGTCACGATGGAGATCCGACAGGTCCCCATCGTAGCCACTCAACTCCTTCAATTCTTGCACGCTGCCAATACAAACGCGCTCCTCCATGTCGTCGCTTACCCACAAGGGAATGGGAGTGCCCCAGTACCGGTTTCTCGACACGTTCCAGTCGCGGGCATTTTCAATCCAGCTGGCGAACCGGCGTTCCTTCACAAAAGAGGGAACCCAGTGGGATCCCTTAATGTTTTCAAGCATCTGTGGAATGATTTCTGGGATGCGAACGAACCATGAAGGTACAGCTCGGTAGATGAGAGGCGTGTCGGAACGGTAGCACATGGGATACGAGTGCTTGAGAGAAGAATCAACGACAAGTCTTCCAGTACCCTTTAGATACTTGATGATGTGTTTATCGGCCTCCTTGACATGCATTCCTGCAAAATCAGAAATGCGCGGGCCGAAGTGACCCTTGTCGTCAATAGGGTCCGGCGGCGGTCTGTTTTCAGTGATGATACCAGCAGCGAGGGCAACGTTGTAATCGTCCTCGCCAAAAGCCGGGGCCTGGTGAACGATACCAGTACCGCTGTCGTCAGTAACGTATTCGGCGTTCAAGACCCTGAAGGCGACGTCCTTGTACTCTTCGTAGAAGTAGTTGAAAGGGGGCTCATACTGCCAGCCCAGCATTTCCTTGCCTCTGATCTTCTCGAGAACCTTGTACTTGGCTTTCTTGGGGTCCTTGTACAAAGTGTTTAAGAGCTTCTCGAGAATGATGTATTTCTTGCCGGATTTCTCGTCCTGGATTTTGATGTACTCAAATTCAGGGTGGGCAGCAAGACCGAGATGCGACGGCAGTGTCCAAGGTGTGGTTGTCCATGCCAGGAGATGAGTCTCAGGGTCATCGCGGAGAGGGAAGGAGATGACAATGGCAGGATCAGTGACATCTTGGTAGTTCTGGTTGGCCTCGAAGTTGCTCAGAGCTGTGGTGAGAGCGGTAGAGTAGGGCATGACACGATGACCTTGGTAGACAGCTCCCTTATCGAACAATTGCTTGAACACCCACCACTCCGACTCCATGAAGGTGGGGTCCATGGTCTTATAGTCGTTGTCGAAATCAATCCAGCGTCCGAGTCTCTCGATGGTGTGCCGCCATTCCTCACTGTAACGCATGACGATGGATCTGCATTCAGCATTGTAGTTTTTAAGACCAAGCTTCATGACAGCAGCCTTTCCGGAGATTCCCAGCTTCTTGTCAATTTCGTGCTCAATGGGCAGGCCGTGGGTATCCCAGCCGAAGCGTCTTTCGACATGGAAGCCCTTCATTGACCAGTATCTCGGGATGATGTCTTTGATGGTGGAGGCCAACAGGTGACCGTAGTGAGGCAGACCGGTTGCAAAGGGGGGGCCATCGTAGAATGTGTAGAGAGGTTTTCCCTGGGTCAATTCGAGCTATGTAGCAGAAATGAGATGTTAGTAGGTGGAGGGAATAGTGCGGCGCTTATAGTTCTCTGGAAAGCGAGACAACGCTCGGAGATGAACGATCAAGGCTTACCTGACGCTCAAATGCCTTGATCTCGCGCCATTTCTTGATGATCTCGACCTCTTCCTTGGGAAAGTCGATAGACATGTTGGCGGAATCGAAGCGGTGAGGCGTCGAACGCAACAAGTGCGCAGCGTGGTTGTGAGGTTTGCAAACACCAGAGTTGCGCGCCAAGGATGGCTGGCCAGCGAGGGTCCGATTCGATGGGTTGTCACAAGAAAGAGAAATGAAGCCCAAGCCCGTATCTTGTAGAAACCGTCGTGGTTGTAAGCAGGCAAGGCAGCGGCAGAGGCTCGAATGAGTCTTTGCGGGTGAATCAAGACCGACGACTTGTCGAGGAGAGGTTGTGGCTCTGAATGCACGTTGATTTGGAGGGGTCTTTTTTGGTGGGCGATGTGAGTCAGTGGGGTAATTTTTTCCAATTGACTTAAGTCGAGCGCGGGGCAGTGAGTTTTCCAGATAGGCACCTTGGTCCCTTCCCCTCCTTCCCGGCCTAAGGTACCAAGGGAGGTACATCGTCGCTGCACCTGGTGGTTGGTACCTTGGGCCTGCCTAGGCCCGTAAGTCTCTATGTCCCGAGTCGAAGACGTGTCTTACATAAGCCTGCGAAAGGTGCCTTGCATGGTAGGTAGGCACCTACCTAGGTGCCATGTGCCTCAGCAGGCGATGCCGCACACTGCTTGTAAGGGAGCACGGTAGGTACCCAGACAAACGGATAGGCGCCTTCGATACCAGGTCACCAAGCAACGCCTTCTCCGGCTGGCAAGGGCTGATCATCAACATAAACAACCCAACGTCGACCTGACGCCCCGCTCATTTATCCCCTCCCCACGATACTCTCCTCGACGGTTCACAATACCCTCGCCCCCGCGCAACCGTGTCGTTTATCCCGTTGCCGGGGAATTTACTACAATCAACATACAGCAGCCCTCTTCCGACTGGTATTCAGCACATCTCTCAGACCTGCAATCTTCGTCAACGACACCGAAGCGTACCTAACAACCCAGCCCAGTCCGCACACTCGACTCAGAACCGATAAAATACCTCAAACCCACCCATAAAAACTGCGAATCCCGCAAAATACACTCGGTTCTCTCCATCCTCGTCCGCAATGTCCTTCCTGTTTGGCAGGGCCAGAACGAGGCCGGCCGTGGACCTACCCAAACAAGCCAGGGAGCATTTGACGAAGCTGGAAGGACCAAATGGCTCTGTGAAGGTCAGCCCTCATTATGGTTGCCGCGCATCTCTTTTGGACCATCAAAGTGCTGACCTATCCTCTCGTCAGGCCGAAGAGCTTGCCAGAGTCCTGAACCAGATGAAGTTCATTTTGCAAGGTACTCAAGGTTGGTCTTTATACCTCGTCTACCTTGGACCATGGCAGCTAATGTCGGATCAGAGGCTGATAGCAGCCCCGAACAGATATATCAACTCGTTACTGGCTTGATTGAGGAGGATCTTCTTTACTTACTTGCCGTAAATCTCTGGCGCTTACCGTTCGAATCCCGCAAAGATACCCAGGTTATCTTCTCCTACGTCTTCCGTTTCCGCCCTCCAACCGGCTCGCCTAAGAGCGACCCTCTCGCTCTGTCCTACGTTGTCAACAACCGCCCGCAAGTTTTGCTGGAACTTTGTCGAGGGTACGAGCACAAGGAGAGCGCAACGCCTGCCGGTTCCGTTCTCCGAGAAGTCCTTAAATCAGAAGCCGCCGCCGCCATAATCTTGTACGATGACAATGAAGAATCTGGATCTAGCAATAAAGGTATCAATTTGATTGACCGAGACCGCCGTCAAAGCGGCGACGGCGTCTTTTGGAGGTTTTTTGACTGGATCGACAAGAGCTCTTTCGAAGTCGCTGCGGATGCCTTCACCACGTTTAGAGTAAGGCGACCCTATTGCTACAGCGAACCTTCAGCTGCTGGTACGATTTCTGACCTGCCCTATCTTTAGGAACTTCTTACGAAACACAAGGAGCTTGTCCCGAGGTACTTGTCGGTCAACTTCGACCTCTTCTTCGACAAGTACAATAACATACTTGTACAATCCAACAGTTATGTCACCAAGCGACAGTCCATCAAATTACTCGGCGAGATCTTGCTGGACCGCTCAAACTATAGCGTTATGACCGCCTACGTTGATCGCGGAGAGCATCTGAAGATTTGCATGAACCTATTGAGAGACGACCGCAAGATGGTCCAGTATGAGGGCTTCCACGTCTTCAAGGTCTTCGTTGCCAACCCTCATAAGTCAATTGCGGTCCAAAAGATATTGCTCATGAATAGGGAAAAGCTACTCACGTTCTTGTCCCATTTTCTGGAAGACCGGACCGACGATGAACAGTTCATTGATGAAAGGGAGTTCCTCATCAAGCAGATCAGAAATATGCCGCCAAGCCCAGTGCCGCCTCAGAGGCATGGCATGTCTGGCGGCACTTGACCGGTTTGAAACAGAGGGAAAGGGAAAACTATGCGGGAAGTGACAATCCCAACTTGAACATGTCGCTGAAGGGAGTTTCGATGTAATTGAAGCGGAGGTCTCAGAAGCTCGAGCTTTCATGGCGACATCGATTGAATGTGCATTCGCGTCTGGCGTTCATGGTAGGACGGTTCCCAAAACATCGCGTTGTCCAGCAAGCTGATAATCAATTTTCGGCATGCCGATATTGTGACATGGATGGATTGGAAAGTCTCCATGCCGATAGTCCTTTCCCACGGCGACCTTGGTCTACGTATCTTTGATGATCCACTCTTGTGCCTTTTCCTTATATTCCTCGCGCCACCTGCTCAACGGAGGCCGGCCATGGACGATGTCCCCAACGCTCCAAAGCATCCTCTTACAATCCAGGTCTTCCGTCACCTCGTTGTCCGGGCAAATGATATAAAATAAGCCCAACTCCATTTTCTGTTCCAAATACTCAGCTACTTGCTCAGGACTCCAGGCGGCGGCTGGCTTTTGTCTGCCGGAACCAGCACCGGCGAGGCCAGTGAAAGTCCAACCTGGCACTAGAAGGTGCGCTGTTGTAGCGGTGTTTCTAAGATCAAATGACAAATGTTCGGCAACGGACTTGACAGCCGCCTTGCTGGCGTTATAGGCCGGGTTCCCTGGTGGATTCGTGATGCCTTGCTTTGAGCCTGTAATGACCACGGCCGACTGGGAAGATTGTCCATTGCCCACCAAAGGCAAAAGGGTGTTGATGCCGTTAACAATACCGTACAGGTTTGTGTCGATGATGCGATGGAAGCTGTCCAGATCCTGCCAGCTTGATTTGCCGCCAACACCAGCGTTGAGAACTAACAAGTCGATTCGGCCTTTGAAGAGGTCAGCTCCAGTGGCATTGTCGCGCAGTGGCGTGTCTCGAAAGGGTGAGCGCGGAGTGAGAACAAAAGAACTGACCACCAAGTGTGCTGTTGACTTCAATCTTCAACCTCTCCCAGTCCTGCAAGATGCTGACGTCCATCTCGAATAATTTTACTGAGCCCCTCAGTGTGGATTTAGCCTCATCGAGAAGCCTTGTATCACGGTCAACTATGACCACTGTCATTTGTCGATCGAGACATCTTTGGGCAATTGCTAGGCCAATGCCTGAGGCGCCACCCGTAATAACTGCGGTATTTGAGGAGGCAAAGACGGACGCCATGATCAAGCAATCTTTCAGCCAGCTTTCTGCTATGTGTCTTGGGTACGCTCACAGATCGCCAAAGACGTCGGCTACACACGGAGTGAGTAGGTTTCTGAAAACACATGATAGGTAGATGGAAACGCACGCCCTCACTCTCGCCGTCCCCATCCCGTTTGCGGGGAAGCCTACGGATTTTAGCACCATTATCGCCGCCATCAGTCATCAAAGACTGCCGAGGCAGATGAACAGAGCCAATCAGCTTTATCTCACGAACAGAAAACCCTCTGCGGGCATCAGCGTCAATAACCGCCCCCAAAAGCTATGTGTCGGGATTAAGAAGCTTTAAGATCCAGCTAATAGCAAATTAATGAGAGCCTGACCCTTAAGACGCCTCTTTCCCCCATTCCATGCCTACTAGTCAAATAAAATAAAAAAACGCAACACAGACAATCACTCGTCACCTTGAACTCATGGGTACCCACGCGGCGCAATGTTCGGGAGCATCAGCGAGAGGCCTGAGTCGGCTGCTTCGCCAGCATCACACTGACACTCTCTCGCGCGTTCGAGGAGGCCCATACACTTTCCTTTCCGCCCCGCCGCCAGTCGTCGCCGGTTGCATCTTCTCCGCCTCCTCTTGTCGCCTCCCCCATGATGACCTCCAAATCTCGTTTCTGGGAGCTGATCCAGTTTCTCACAAAGTTTGCCGGATCTTGGCTCATAGATGTGAAAAACGAGTGTTTCGCCTTCGAACTGGCAATCGCCGAGACCAGTGTCGCCAACTGCTCATCCAAAGTAGCCACGTTCTTCAGAGCACTAGCATAGGCTGGGTTGGCCACAAAAGGCACCAGCTTGGATCGAAGGGTTTCCTCGACAGCAACCCGTACGTCGTAAACCGTGGGCTGAGGATCCTGATGGAACGTCTCATCCACTCGAACCGTGTACGGTAGACTAATTGGGGGAAGAGGTCGCAGGTGAGGCTGGATGTAGTCGTTCAAGTTTGGAATCATGCCCACGTCATTGCCATTGATAATCTGGACGAATAAGTCAGCGGAGGGAGAAGATATTAGACGAATCAACTGTGCTACCTTTCTTAGGAGGTCATCGCAACGAAAGTTACGTTTCTCCTCGTCTTCTTGCAAGCCCATCATCTTGATATACTCCCACACGGCTAGAACAGCCTCTTGTCTGGACGCCTCGGTCATATCCACAACTTCAGCCAGGTCGGGACTTAGAAGGTATCGTTCTGGGTCCTCCAAGCGATGCAAGTTGACAGTGATATTCATGTTCTCGTCCCCACTCCTTTTGAAGGTAAACTCGTCGAAGTCTGAGACATTCGTAGCATTCTGTGCAGAGTGCCTCTTCCATTCAACAGTCTGATCGGATGCCGCCCGTGAGCGGCTTCGATCGAAATCAACGTTGAGAGCCTTAAAGAAGCGCGAAAATCGACACTTCTGCGGCGACGGGGCTGAGCTTTGACGTCTTGAGCTGGGGGCGCCATCCTCGTCCATTCGGTCTTCGTTCTGGGCAACATCCTCAACAGATTCGTCCTGGTCATCGTCAAGCAAACGAGCTTCAATCTTGACGCGATAGGAAGGCTCAGCACTTGGTGTGAAATCGAAGCTGTCGACGCTAAGTCCGCTGCCTTGCCATGCCTGATCTTCGACGGTGTTGCTAATCCAGACGCGCAGGGTTTTATACCGCTAGGGATCGCCCAAATTTAGCAAAGGGTATGGGCAATAAAATTCGCGGGTGTAGACATCAAAGAAATCATTGTGCAAGACGACTGACCTTTGCGTTGCGACCAACAGCCTCGACGATGTCAAGGCGTTTGCGTGTCATAGTTGCATCGAGGCGGCGCTCGAAGTCGCGCAATTCCTTGTATCTCTGGGCGACCTCAGAATCTGTGATGCAGTCCTCGACGCCGTCTGGCAACGTTTTATCGGTAGGCTTTCGACTGCGACGCTTTGCTAGCTCGCTCGTAAGGGCCTGACCCGGGGGGTGGTGTTGCGCTATAGTCGCCTGGTTGATGGCTGCTTGCTGGTGATGTCCTGGAGGCATGATGGGTCCTTGAGAATGCGTGTCAGCCAACTGGAGCCTGATGCAACGCGGAGAAAAGAAGGGCACGATGGGGACGTGAGGCAGGTGGAAGTCCTTCTCGACAGAAGGAATTAAAGGAAGGGACGGGCATACCGATGCCGCCTCTCCGTTGATTTGGGGCGGTATGTGGAGCCCGCTGGGGAACTTGCGGTGCGCCAGCATGGGCAGCATACTGACGGTATTGAGGCTGCATATCGACAGTGAAGATTTTCGACGCGCGCAAGGAGGTTAAGAATACGGGGGAAAACCCCAATACGAAACCCGAGTTATTGGATTCAGAAATGATGACCGTGGCGATGTGCCAAGCTGGGTAAGAGGTCGCGTCGTTTGTCGCTTCAGGGCGCGTGTGCAAAGGCGAATGGCTGACACTGGAGCGGCAACAGGCGCAGGATGAAAGTGCCACCTCTGATGATTGGTCCATTAAAATGGGCCATGGGACAGATCCACCCTAAGGGTTCGGCGCATTTGATTCGCAGGAATGGGAGCAGACTACCGGTAGAATCTTCAATGACCTTAATTAGCATCGCAGGACATGTGAAAAGATATCCCACTCTTTTCCACAACGTATGTCAAAGATCCAAAAGAGGTTCAGAGACACATTGATCTTCTAGATTTACTAGAATGCCTTGAAAACGTGATCAGGATCGAAAGCATACATCATATGGACTCGCTGTCCCTCAGGGCTTGGTTTGGCCTTGCTCAATGATTCCTATGAAAACCTCCTAAACTCCCTATAAGAAGACAACCTCCCTTGTTCATGAATGCTTCCGCCCGCGAAGGAAATTGCAAAAACCCATATATAATAGGCCAAGTCGTCGAAGAGTGCATTGCCGACGGGACGCCACGCTGCTGAATGCTTACTTCCAATCCCACTTTCATCATTAAGAAGTCCTGGGCCTCCTCTGCATGCCTCGTTAAGGGCACCACATCTCCCTCCTGTGAAGGCCCTAATCATATCCTCGGGCATCAAAATTGTGCCCCTAGCCCATTTTTAGATTGCCGCTTGCTGAATCGGTTTCGTTTGGTCGAAGAAGAGTCTTCCAAGCTCGCTTGACTTTTGCTCAGATGGTTTCGGCCGGACCGGTCGCTGACGCTGAAGCTATCGGGGTATGCTCCTCGTCCACCCAGCGTACTTGCTGGACTCGACACTGCTGAAGACATGTCTGCAAAACCATTGTCACCAGCATAGCTACCAACAAGGTTTTGAGAAACCGCCAACTCCCTGGCTCTTTCCAATGACTCGATCCAGTCCTCGGCTGTAGAACCATTGTCGGGGGAGCTGGAGCTGCCCTTCGGCTCCTCAAATGTGTAATGGACGCCGCCCTGTCGAAATTTAGATGAGCGGCGATACTTTTTGCCCAGAATACTTACTGCATCGACGCACCAAACTCTTTGCCCCTTGACGTCAAGTTGGGTTCTCCATGAGCTTTCGGGCGACAAAAGCGATATCTCCTGCTTTGCACGCTTCTCGTCTCCGCCAGCCGGAGCCAGCAGTATTCGACCACTTGATGTGACCATGACCAATCTTTGTCTCTTCTTTGTTGTGCTGCCGCCAAAAAACCTCGACAGCTTCTTATGCCCTTCATGCTCACCTCCTTTGCCATGGCCCCCGTTGGGCAGTGGAGTTGACACGACCATCAAATCGCCCAACTTGAGAATTCTCTCATTGTTCCGTGTCAAGACAGGCGACCATTCGATATCTAGCTGAGTTGGGGGAGGTAGCTCGGTTATAATCCTGGCTGGACGAGAGCCACCATTCGCAGCAGAGCTTTGAGCCGGCGGCTGTGATGTTCTAGGAGGGGCAACAGGATTCGGACTGCCGGCCGCACTATTAAGCTGAATCAAAGTCGGTTCCTGTGGCGCGGGGTTATAAGGTCGCAGTCGCGGAGCTTTGGTTCTCCACAGTCCCTTGCCGAACTGTTGCCCGTCAAAGAATTCGTGGTTCTTGATATGCTCCACGGTAAGACGCCGGGCTGGGTCAAGCACCAAGCACCTTTCCACCAAGTCTCGTGCTGCTGGGGGAAATCCGCTGGGGAAATCGTACTCGAGATTAACAATCTTCTGGAAAGTGAGGTACTCCGTGCCCGCCTTGAACGGCGGCCTGCCGGCCAGTAGCTGGTATACTATGCATCCGAAAGCCCAGAGATCGCTCGCCTTGCAAGCATTTTTGCTCGTCAAAAGTTCAGGGCTCACATACTCGGCGGTTCCTACGAACGATGCTGCCCGGCCATCATCCTCGATGTCGCCACGGCTACTTTCAGGAAGACCCCTTGCTCCCTCACCTGCGATCTGTGACTCTCTGGGATCCTTTAGCAGCTTGGCTGTCCCAAAATCGGTGATCTTGACATGCATGTGGTCATCCAAGAGAACGTTTTCGGGCTTCAAGTCTCGGTGAATAACCCCTCTTGAGTGCATGTAGTCAATTGCATCCAGTATCTGCGCACCGTAAAAACGTGTGCACTCCACATCGAATGTGCCCGTTTTTTTGAGAACACCGAGGAGCTCGCCACCGTTGCAGAGATCCAGGACATAGTACAGTGATGCTTCGTCTTGAAATGTGTAGTAAAGGCGCACAATGCCTGGGTGTTCCGTGAGGCGGTTCAGGGTGTTCTTCTCGATGTTGACATACTTGATCTTCTTTTCCTTGATGATGTGCTTCTTTTCAAGAACTTTGATGGCATACTCTTTGAGCGTCTGTCGATCAGTGGCTAAATAGACCGTACTGTACGAGCCTTCGCCGAGCACTCGACCAAAACTGAAGTCCCTAACTCCTTTTTTGACGTGTCGAATGACTGTCTTCCCATTCGCGTCCGTCTCTCTCCTGACGCCAACGGCAGCGCCGCGGTCTTTCCATTCCTCGCTGCTGGTAGGGAGTGGCATGTCGGGGCCGTACGGGTCTCGTGGAGGCTGAGAAGCTGTAGTTGCTGAGACGTATCCACCCCCCATGCCTTTGGAGCTCCTCCTCGGCGGCAGTGGTCCAGAACCAGGAGGCAGTTGAGATTGGCGAGGGTTTGCAGACCTGTGGCTTGGCTCTCTTGTAGGTATTGATGATGGGTAGCCAGGGCCATTACCAGAATCCTGTCTCGCTAGAAGGCCATACACGGAAGATCGTGCTCGTTCGTTCTGTGACGCAGTTTGGTGCTGCAACAAGCGTCCATCCTCAGACGCGGTGGGTGGATGGGCGTACATGCCAGAGATTGGACGGCCAGTGGGGGGTGCCGAGGCCTGGCTACCTTGGGCTTGCTCGGGGTCTGGGTATGACGATATAGGTTGACGGTAGACTTCAGCTCGCATGGCAGCGCTAGGGCTCGTTCGGTGCGATTCGGCGTGTGCGGGCATAGCATCCGGGGCAGCGCCGAGTTGTTCGGGAGGCTGGATGTGGGACACGGGTAATAGAAGACTATCTGAGATCGGGGTCGAAGCATGCGAGGCGATGGGTTCTTGTTGCGTGCCATGCCGGGCAGTGGAGGGTGCTAAATGAGCATCGGGTTGGTCCTCGGTCGGAGACAGGGCGCCTCCATCCGACAGGTTGTTTGGAGACGAATCGTCTGGATTAGCTATTCGTAATCCTCCGAGGGCCCTCGACAGACTGAGGTCCCCATTCATGGTTCGTGTATGTGTCTGTGGGCAGATGGGGGGAAGGGAGGGAGTCAGGAATGGGAAAGGAGAGGATGGGCGGAGGCAGTATAGGTAGAGAAAGGATGAAGGAGAAAGCAGGAGTAACGACTGGCTCCGCCGATTCCTCGTGCAATGGGCGAGGTGAAGTCAGATTTGGTAGGTACGCGGCGCGGCACGATCAAACGGGATAGGAGAGAAGCGGTCGTTAGTCGTTGGTCGGGAGGGCAATCGACCACATCTGATTCGGGTCTGCTCTGCGGTCGGTTGGTCGGTCGGTCGTGTCAGACAATTAGGTATGTAGGTATTCTGCTGGTGGGTAGGTGGTAACAACGCCGCCAGGAAGGCAGGTAGGTACTACCTTATGCCTGAGGTACGTTTAAGTGGTTCGCCAGGTAAGGTAAGGACTGGCACCTCCTCCCATGGGCACCTGACCTTCTATTGCCTTAAGTTAGGTAAGGTAGGGAAGGTACCTTACCTAAAGGCGCCTCACCTTAGACGACTGCGCGTGGTGCAAAACTACCTACCCACCAGGCACCTAACCTGCCCCATCGGAAGTGACCTGGGTTGCTGGGAGAATGTCCCCAAATGAGTGCAGGCAAAGCAGGCAGGGCAATGTGGAAGAAGCTATGAGCACTTCGCCCAGCACACAGATACAGCACTTCATTTCAATCCCAGCCATTCAGGGCCAGGTCGTGATGCCACCAAAATGACAAACTTCTAGTTCGTAAGATGACAACCAGCAACGAACAAGAAAAAAGGAATTCGGTGCCTTGCGTCATCCAACGCGGGCGAAGCTAAGAAATCGAGCAGCAGTGCGTAAGGGAAAGCGCAGTGAATACGTGCAATCTGCCCGCAACAGAGAGCCTCGTGCTTTCTTCACGAGCAGTATGAGCCTTCTCGCCCGAGACACAGCACTCATGTGCAACACTTTCTTTCCAGGGTTGACCGCTCAAATGTGTACAAAACAAGCACACCATTTCGCCATCACCTACGCCGAAATGTTACGCCTCGAACCATCTGTCATCCGCCTGACTCTGTGCGAGGTGAACGATCTGCACCGGCGATCGAAATCCCAGCAGCAGCTTCATCCTCTAGCAAGGCATGATCTAGGAGCTCTTTCTGTGCCACTACGGCAACCTCAATATCCAACCCCGTACTCTACCTGCATGGACTTACCTAGATTGTTATATTCATCGATTCCGACTGCAACAGCTTCGCCAGAAATTCCGGTACAAGACGGTAGCGACGATATAGACGGCGCAAGCGGCCAAAGCTTTGATCCTCTGTCAAGGACTGATGGCGTCGAGAGCGGCCCTCGCAGCGGTTGGCATTCCAACATGGCAAGTGCTTGCGACAGGCCGTCGAATTCGTTGAACACGATGCCTCGACCGCCTGTGCCATTTCCTTCAATGGGGCAAGCTTCTTCATCTCTTGTACAGTCCATCAGTGTCTGATCACTATCGTAATGCTCGACTTCCAAGTGAGGCTGACACTATTAGCAGCAACCGCAACCTGCGGCCTTGCGCGGGGTCGGCCCTAGGGAGCCAAGTCATGTCTACGCTTCACATCCATCTCCAGTCACAATGCGCATGGGCTTAGGGGGACAGAGAGACGTTGGTGGAAGCCCCAGACTCATTGTATATGATGATTCGGTCACTACAATGATCCAGTCCCAGACTGCAGGTCACCTTCCGGAAGCCCGGCACCAGAGTCGGCTGCATGAATCACATACGGCACCAAGCGGAAGATAATTGTTCCAGGGGCCAACTACTACCGCGCAGGGTCGCCATCGACGTCGTGTGAGGGCGGCCAGTCCTTTCGACACGGGCATTCCAGGACTTGTTAGGCTTTACGGCGGTAGGGAGAACCCTGGGGAGCTGGCACCGTATGATGCCGCGACGCGCCGGCACTGGGCAGGACAACGCAGAGGATGAATTAATAGACGTACTGACCTGTCTCTGGCTTAGCGGGCGTTTGCACATGCCCATGTCATGCTCGACTACGGTTTGTAAAATATTCGAAGGCGACGAATGGGTAGTCCCACGCGGTGACCCTGACAGAAGAGGACTGCCGAGCCAGTCTACCAGGCTCATTAATATAGAAGTAGTCGACGAGAGTGAATGCGTCGATTTGCTAGAAGAGTGTGTACATTGTGAAAGGGCGATTCCAGTACTCTAATTCTCCAACAGGTCTGGCTCAAGAGCCGTTAGTAGTGTGGCTGTGAGGCAACGGACAGATTGTTGGTAGCCTGAGCGACAACCAGGCGACTCTGACGGCACGGGGAGTCTCCCGCTTTCCGGACGCCCGGCCGTCCAGTGATGAGGGTCACGTGATGGTTGAAATCATTGTGCGACTGGCAACTGATGCCTGAGGCACAAGGCAAGAGGAAGAAGACTCATTACACTGCGTGGGCTTTGCCTCGATAGTACCGAGGACCTAGGTATGTATATACATAAGATATGCATTCATGTACGGGTACCGCGGTAGATGATTGCGCAACTGTTATCCAGACGTCATCCGCCCTACAGTCAGCAAGCCCGCTTCTTCATCGTCTGCACCGCGACAGATACCAGAATGCCGATTTGCTCGTATGATCTGACTAGCTATTCGCGACCGGGTTGCTTGGTCTGCTGGTGTGGGTTTTGCATGCGAGTGTTTGGGCGTAATGCAGTTCATTCCCCGGTCATCTAGGTCACCGGCCAGCAAATGGCCGCCAGTATCTGTACTGGACAAGGCACGACACGACGACTGCAGCTGTAGCAACTGCGGTCGCCAGCCTGCCCGATTTGGCAAAGGCCCAAAGGCAGAAATCAGCATTGGGACCCGAGCGCAACATAAGGAGCAGCAGCAAGAGGCCACAAGTGCATACTATGGAGCACTGCGGTACATACGTAGTACGTACACATTCAGTGGACTACAAGGTGGAAGCTCATTCGCGGCGGATATGTACCTATCTTCAAGGACAACCCAGATATCGTACGGTAAGACGCTGACAGGCGCTAGCATAGGGAAAGAGAGAGAACATCGGATGAAGGTCTCGATACCGCAGTATGACAAGAGTCCTGGTGAGACGCAAGGTACTCATCCGCCGGGGAAAAGTTCACATGGGGTCCCGGAGATGGTTTCTGCTGCCAAGAGCAGCGGTCCGCAACCGAGATCCCTGCGACCCTAAGTCGTGGCAAACGATACGTACCTGCCCTACTCTGCAGTGGCTCGCCTTTCCACAAGAGCGTGGACTCTCTTCTCCATGTCTCTCCTCAGCGGCTGCGCCAGCGCCAGCGCGAGCTGCGACAATGCGACTCGCGACGGGGAGCTGGGGTGTAAAGACTCTCAAGGCGACGTTCCCTTGTCTACCGCACTCCAACCTTTTTTTCGCCGGCCCTGTTCAGTCTCTGTTCGTCTTGTCCTGTCCTCGCGTTTTCCTTCCGTGTGTCAATTGGCCTGGCCATACTGCAAAATACAAAAGGATAGCTCTGTCTACACCTGCCTCCCTGCACCCTCCGCTCTACCTCTACCTTTACCTTTCCCCCCTTTCCCAGCCACTGCCAGTCCATCCATCCATCTGGTGTCTCGTCTCGTCTCGTCTCCCATCGTCTCTTTCTGACAGCCTCGCTCTTGCAACCTAAGTTCTTCCCTCTCTTCTCATTGATGTACTCCATACGCTAGCTTCGTCAACCCTGCTTTAGCTGCTACCATCATTGAGCCCATCACCAATCGGCCATTCTATTCTGCCTTACACTATCACCTTCAGGTTGCTGCCGTCTTTCAAACCACCTCTGAACACCAACCTACCATTGCGAGCTGCTACTGATCGCCCCGATCTCGAACGATCCTGTCTCATCTCAGTCTTCTCTCGCCTCGGACTACTTCGACCATCTGCCAAGTACCTTGTGGCCCTGCACCATAGCGAGCCAGCACCATATCATTCACGCCCATCCGCTATCGCCGCCAGCTGCAACCCAGTTCGGGGTGTCATCTTGCAACTACTAACCTGTCTTGATGCGTAGAAGAGCTATCTAAAACAGACAATTGAACTTACCTTCCACAGGTCTAACAACTTAGCAATGTCATCTTTCGGCCGATCCTTCTCAACTGCCTCGCCAGTCATGGCCCTACCACCGCAGCCCGCCCATCAAGCCAGCTTCACCATGGAGTCTTACGCTTCCCCAGCAGCCTCTTTCGATCAACCTGTCGCCTTACAACGCTGCACTCCCCCGACAGCGGTACCCTCCGGAAACCTCAAGGTCGCAGGTCGCAAACGCTCGCGCGATGAGGCCGCCCCCAACCTTATCACAGACGAGCCCGAGCCTCATGCCGAACACCAAGAGGCTGAGGATGAGTGGGAGTACGGCCCAGGCATGGTGCTCATTAAGAAGGGTAGCTACGTCGCCGACGCAAGCAGTCAGTCAGGCACTTGGGTCGAAGAGAAGGCGGCGGAAGACGAGGCTCGTAAGGCCAGGGAAGCCATCACGCGTCTGCACGAACAACAGCAGCGCCCTTCTCTCCGCAGCAACAAATCTCAACGACTCACGCAGAGCAACGTGCTTGGTTTCGGCGCGGCCAGTCAACCAGTTCCTGCGTCAACAGCAGAATCTCTTCCCCTGCAACAAGCTGCTCAGCCCATAGTCGATCACTTTACCTTGCATCTCGGCGTTGGCTGGAGACGCATCAGCGAAGATCAGCACATCCAGGCTGCTGCTCGCGGATGGGCCCGTTACATTGAAAACCATTACCCAGTCTCGTCGGCTGTCATTCGACTCGAAAGCAAAGGGCTACAATCATATCTAGTGGAAGCCGCTGAGGGCTTTTTTCTCTTTTCCGAGGATCTTCGACAAGGTCGATTTGTCAGTGCAGACGCCGAGGGTGCACTAAGAAACTTGAAGTGCTCACCTCCCGCATTCGACGGCCCAGAGACTCTCGCGGCGACTGAGTCCCCAGCTAGCGAATCGCCCTCCACCACGCTTGCAGCAGAGGCAGACATCCAAATGGAGATGTGCTAAAGCGCAATCACTGTGCAGTACAGCGCGGTTCAATTGTTTGTTTATTGGGATCACAACTCGAAAATGGCAGGCTTTGGGGAGAGGGAGGCGCGCATCATCATTATTCTTGCGTATGGGCTTGCTTGATGGGATTGGGTTCGGTGGTAGGGCGCTTGCACGCATCCGTCAAGACTCTCTTGCTCCGTACAGTAGAGAAGGAACTGAGTCCAGGCGTTTCATTTTAGCAATATAGAAAGACTGGTTCTTGCGTATCAGTCTGATTGGGTTTTTAGTTGCACTTGACCTTGCTCATCGGCGGGCTAAGAATCCGTGGCCAACCCCGGTCGCAATTGAATTTTTTTTCTTGACACACTCGACTACAAATCTGATTGACGTGTGCAGCGTTTTGACCTGATGGCGATGGTGATGCCCGTCCAGCTGAGAGGTGGTTGACGTGCGCGACGTACACGACGTACACGACACCAACGTCGGAGTGCCCTCGACGCTTGTGGCGTGGAGTTTGAGTTCAGACTTGTTTGTCGTATCGTAAGGAGGTACGGCCAATCTGGGGTACTGAATGGGCATTTGCCTAAGATTGTCTCGGAGCGAGTAATGTGGACTAACGCCCCGGGTAACACACCCTCAGGATTGAGCACCATTGATTGCTAAGGAAGGCGGTGAGTACAGGCAATGCACGAATAAGGCCCCTCGTCCGAAGGTTGGTCGGAGCGGCACCATCCAGGTCATCCGCCTTACTGTTCTCCGGCAGGGTGGGATCCTTTAGGTACACAGTACGATACCTAGGTACACTAAAGTAGGCGACGTGGGCGCGGATTTCGTGACCCATAGTGTATTATGTAAGTAATCAACCAGGACCGTCCCATCTCAGCCGCCGGAAAGTTGCAACGAAACATGGAACGGATAGCAGAGCGTGAGCGGACACCATGTACTGGAGGTAAGGTGCTTTTGGCGGAGTACGCCTTGCCAAAGTACCTACCTAGGTATGTCAACGGCCCCTGCATGTTGCCTTGAAGCCAGAGGTGACAAGCTAGAGATACATACATCACCAACCAGTAGCACCGTGATGGCCATTCAATCTCTTGCTGACGCTTCGTGCTCTTGCAGCGTCGGTTCACCAAGGCATCCTTTGATCCAAGCATGGCAACGGATTTCGTGACGTTGGAGGGGTGGCCCGGGAGTGTCTTACAAGTTATGGCTGATGCATGCGTGTTCGTCGTGCCTATCTTGCTACCTTGGGCTACCTAGGGTCACATCACGTTTGCTGTTGATGTGTACGTCCAGTCCCGCTGCGCGCTCCGTGTTCCAGGCGCTCTAATTGCCCATATGGTGTTTTTGCTTGGCCTGTGGGTGACTCGACTCTAGGTAGGCTCTCTTCTGCCTCCACGCCTCGGCGCTCTCTCCTCATCGCGGGGTCTTTGCCATTCGTTACGAACAGGTGTGCCCTGCCCAGTCCATCCCATCTATAGAACTCACTTGTGTCTTATTTTGGGTTGTCGAGGCTGGGAGAATCCGACGTTCTTCTGGGTTCATCTCTGCTTGTTACCTCAACTTCCAACTGCCATCCGAAACAACCTCACATCTGCTTCAGCGTATTATTGCGTCGTCTCTCCTTCTCATCTTTCATAACACTGACCATCATTGTCAATTCGGCAGGCTTTCGCGTCACTACTGCTGATAATCGCGGCTTCCAATTTTTCGTCCGCCCCGCCCCGTCCCCTACTCCTTCTTTAACTTACCTGCCATATTTCTACTTTTTCGCCTGCCTCCGTCACTAGCCCTCTGATCAACCACTTCCTTGACTGCTCCCCCTGTGTGCCATCGCGTGGCTGATCAGTGCTGCCTTTGCACCACATCCCAAAGTGGTCCAAAGTCTTCAGGGTCGTGCGGCCGACAGACACCCCGGCTTCTGGGTCCCATACAAAACAACAACAACAACGACGACAACAGCCTGTCACAGAATCCTCCCCTGCGCAACCCTTCGCCGCGCCGTCTTCGATCCTCCGTGACTGTCCATCGACAGCGGCGGTCAAATTCGCAATCGATTCTCCCCTCCATGTTCAGGCCGCCGTAGGTCCTCTTCCGTCGCTCGAATATCCAGCTGCGGTTTCGCGACGTCTTCATGGTCTCGCAGCCCGACTCTTCGACGTCCTTGACCCTGCGAGGGCCTTCCTCGGTCGTTTCGCGTCCCTCCCTCTCGCGCACGAAACGATACAATAGGTCACATGTCGGCGTCTCTACCAGCATTCCTCAAAATGAATTTCCTATATTCAGCAACTCGGGCGACGTCGAGATCATAGTCAAAGTTGACGGCCACCAGAATCGCTATCTACTGCATCGCCACACTCTCACCCGATGTTCCGGCTTCTTCGAGGCAAGTACAAGTCTTGAGTGGTCCAAGCCCGTTTCGGATGCCGCTTCAGTCGAACTCGGTCGCATAAGTGACGGCTCCGACTCTGCCTCTGCTACCACTACCTATCGAGCCCTGACTACGCCAGCCGGTGTTCGAAAACGATGGCGCTACGAGCTGGATCCGGGGACCGGCGATGGGGATATACCAATGTTGGTGCAAAAGGACGAGGATCGGTCCGACGTTGCTGGGTCTGGGCCTGAATCTCTCTTTGGCTGTGGTGTCGCTCAGAATCGCCACCAGCCTTTACCCGCCACACGCAGCAGGACCTCGGACCATTCGCAGTCCTCCTCCGGTCAAGGGCAACCCTTTTTTCGCTCCGTGGCCAATCTGAGCTTGATCCCTGGTTCGAAATCAGCCCAATCGCTGTCTCAGGCTGATCAAGACCTGCTCAGAGACTACGATAACCTCTTTCGCATCTTTTACAATTATCCCCCGGCTTTGGACGGGATCAACATCGCCGACGCCTATGTGCAGTGCAAGTCGCTCCTCACTTTGGCGGACCAGTACGACGCGCTGGCCGTAGTCGGCCCCAGAGTTGACCACCACTTGCTGCAGTTCCAGTCAAGGCTTTGGAAGCAAATCGCCAAGTATCCCATATCCTATCTCCGCTTGGGCTATCTCGCACGTAGCAAGGTAATCTTTCAAGAGGCTATGATACACGTAGTTGGGCAATGGCCAGCAGGAGAACGCAGTTTGCGAGCTGCGCTTCCAGATATTGTCCTCGACATCATCGAAGATAAGGTGGATGAGCTCGAGGAAATCGTCAGCCGTATCGAGGGTCGCTTATTGAGACTCAATCTCTTGACAGCCAGGGGTGAGCGCGTTACACCTAGCACGTCGTACTTGGATTGGCTCGCCGTCAGTTTGTTTCGGCAGTGGCTGGCCGACAATACCAGTCCTTCGCTATTCAAAGACTCTCGGGATGGCCGTGGGTTCGAGCCCCAGCAACTTGCCCTCCCAACTTCGGTCCCCCCCCTGGCAAATGTTGGTCGCACGTATCGAACACTTGGGTCGTCATCGTCGTCCTATCTTGGTCATGACGAGTGCAAACGGTTCCTGAAATTGACGCCTGAGCTGTACAGCCGCGACAATCTCAGACGTTTTGAGAAGCGGATCGATGAACTCAAGATGATGGCTCATGATATTGTACGACCCTTGATGGGAAGTGGCCTCGAGTTGGACATTAGCAGTGGGAGAACAGCTGATGGGATTGGTTACCTCACCTGCACCACCGTCGGGGATCATGATCTTCCATGGCACGTTGAGTACTGAGGCAGAAGAAGGAGGAGGACGGGGAAAGGGAGAGCAGCTCGAGACGTCGACATGAAATACCCATCTGCGCTCGCAGACAAGACGAAGAGGCCTAAGTCGGTCCTCTGACTGATGATATACGACACTACTGAAATGATTTATTAGTATGGATGGATTTAACCTTGGATACCCATTGACGACCTCCCGTGCGACGAGATAAAATTGGCGCCTCCTAGACGTGCCACTAGACTTCTCCATAATATATGTATATGTATCGCAAAATGATCAGCATGCCTCAGTGTGAGGTATTATTAGTCGTCTCCAGTGAGATCTATGATAGATGCACTACGTTGCCTCGATGACTTCGTTGCCGAGCGCTTCGCCAGACCACATGCCCTGTCCTCTTTTTCCTCGTCACTTATGTCAACCTCTTTGAAGAACCCGACCGCACTTTTACGAGGCACCGTCTTGTATCGACGCATCGATTTAGATTGAGACGCGCTTGGCCTTTCGTCAACGGGCCATGCTTTCGAATCTGGGGTGGTTTGTGACAATGCATCTGGGCTGGCAGTTTTGCAGATAACCAACGAAGGCTCATTGGTCTCCCTGTCACCTATGCTAAGTTCTGGGCTAGTCCTCTCATCATCAATGAGCGATGCAAACATGCCCCTCGACGCCTGCTGTCGCCTGGGAGAGCTGGTGATGAAGGAATCCATCCTGGTCTGCTTCATGGATCTCTTGCTTTGGGGCAGAGTGGGGGGAAGGTCTGAAGTCGTTGCCCGTATCCGTTCACTCTGGTAAGGCACTTGCATCTTGGGGACTGCGGATCGAGCAGACGTTTTGGGCTGCTCAGACGTCAGAGTATCGTCGGAACCGGACAAATCGACTATATCTGGAGCCGATGAGCTGGTCAGCGGCGCACAAGTAGGCGCAAGCGACGAGTGCAGGGGGCTAGACGACAGAAGAACTGGCTCCGAGGGCTGAAACTTGGTAATCCTAGGCATTTGTTGTGAGCCACCGTATGCCCAGGGGTTCTTGTGCCCGGTCGGTTCTGCGGCAGTCGCTTTCCCGGTGGAACTGGATTGCTTACTTCGACTGGTCGAACTTCTCACAGGGGTTGAGCGTAGCGATGCTGCTGTTGCCACTTGAGCTTGAGCAGAAGCTCGAGGTAACGCAGCGGGTGGTCCCGGATGGTTGTTGTTGTTGTTGTTGTTGTTGTTGCTGCCTTTGGGTATTGGCTCTAGCGATCTACCGTCCCCCGTAGCCATACTTGTCGACGCGCTTTTCGTCACTCGAATCCATTTGTCGAGACCACCTGCTTCTTTGGCAGCGACTTTACTCGTCCTATTTTTGTTGACCTTTGTTGTAGCACGAGATTTTTCTTTGGCCCGTTGCGTCTCTTCCCAATCCTCCACGGTAATTGGAACGCTGAGTTTGAGTAGGGATTCCGGCAGCCAGATGGATTCGGCGATAGTAGGGTCATAGTCGGGCCTGGCTTTGGACTTTTCACTGGTGGTGTCAATTTCGACATCAGCACCACCGTGAAAGTCATCGTCGCTATTGAGTGCTAGCCCATGTCGATCAAATGAAACAGGTTCGTCTTCCATCTCCTTTGACATATCCAGCCCGACAATGTCTGCTGGGACATGCGAGACCCTAAGCTCAAGTATCCCGTCGGTGCTATGATGATTTCTGCGCCCCGAAATGCGTTTGATAAGGGCCGCCTCGGTCCGTTCCATCTGGTCTGTTGTCTCGTCGCAGCGCTCAGTGAGATGCCGATCCAATAGCTTGTGCACTAGCAGGCTCTGGGAGAGAACTCTGGTCAGTTTCACTGCGCCGGCTTTGTTGGCCCATTCGAACGTCTCGTCAACGAAATATCGAAGACCTTGAACGTCTATTTGGCGGTTCCAGTGGGTTCTCGCCCTCAGCTGAGCGATAGTCTCGGCATTCGATACCACTGGATGAGTGTAGTGGCGCAGCACTTGTCGGCTTGGGAATTCGTCGGGAATGGCCAGTGCTTTGTGTTTCGTCCGGAAGAAGCCACACTCATTTGTCCGAAGCTGGTGCTTCAAGAAGGTCCTCCACTCTTCAAACTGCACGGGCTCATCGATCTTGAGTCGACATAAAGACTTGCCAAACCCTGCCTTGGCAGCCTCACAAGCCAGCTTGACACCACAGCCCGGAACACCTTCTGGGATGTAATCACCACCACTCATCAGAGCGACCAAAACCATGCCCTCTCGGTCCAGGCCGGTGCCAGCAGATAGGAGCACGTCGACATCGTATAAGCTGACGTGGGTTGGCGTCTTGGAACCGCGAATTCCCTCTGAAGACCAGTTGCGAAGTGTTCTTGTACATCCAAACATAATGGTGTCGACGTCCTCGCTCAGCACGGCGTCGACAATGCCTTGTTGTTGTAACAGGGCGCACTCTGCCTCAGCCTCGCCGGGTGCATCGTGTACAGGAAACCCGAATAGTCGGATAAGTCTCTTGGCCATGGCCGTTGCCACTCCACCACCTTTTCCCGAGCGCTTGTTGCGTTTGAAGGCAGGCTTGTGAGGGCCATCAAATACGAAGATGGGATGTATCGCAAGACCCAAGAGTCGTACTAGGCGATAAAACAGAGTTCTGATCGCAGGGTTGGTGCCGCCTGGTAGACAATCAGCATGATACCTAGAAAAACACTGTGATACAGCTGTACCTCGTGCTGCCTGGGTCTGAAACTGCCAGATAGCAATATCAATAGCGACGCGCAGTGGCCGGCCCGAACTCTCAAGGTGCTCAGTTGCCAGCTTGGCCAAAGAGACTCTTTGACCTGAGCCAAGCTCACGGTAGATGCTGAGGAAGTGATGTCAGCCACGTACAGAAGAAACATGACAAACGAGTTCTCTCACCCCTTGATACCCATGGTAATGTGCTGGTCGAATGTTTTGATCGGTGATTGTGGGCCTTGAATGAATGCAGCCAGCTCGTAAACAAAGATACTGTTTATTGCTGCTAATCATGTCCCCAAAAGATTCGGAATGCCAAAAACCAATCTGATGCCGTTGAGGACTCAATACATGTCCGTATCGTGATACTCAAGGTACGTCTCAAGAAGATCAACAAAGGTTAGGAGAAGAAGCGTTCGTTCTAGGCTGTTTCACAGCATGATGATTCAATGCCTCCTCTGTGTTGCGAAATTGAAAGTGGCCATACCAAGAGCGCACTGAAAAGCTGGATATACTGTAGTCGTTGACGTCTTCCACCTAGTAGGTGGGTTGTTGCAAAATAGAGAGCAACTAAGGTAGGTTCGTTACTCGGGCTACAGTGCCACTCCGCTGGGTTAACATTGGCTGATGGTGGAGGGGCTTAGCGCGGCCGGGGATGCGCTACCTTAGTGCAGGCATCGGGCTTGCAGTCAGCGGCCCGGCGCCTTGAGGTGCATCGCTGAAGTGCCAATCACGGCTCCGTCAACTTACCTAAGCCCGCCCCATTGCCTGGAGTCGTACCTGCAAGGCACGAAGCGCTCTGTGGCGCATATCTTTTGACATCCGACATCATTAAGAGTACGTTGCCGGAACCGACAACATGTCGTCCAGTGCAGGCCCAAGTTTTGCCCATCGATCCGTTTCGAACATTCGGACCGAGACTGGTAGCGGCTCTAGTCTTGGTGGCCCTCTCAGCCCGCATACCCCGTCCCGCACGGTATCGTCTACATTTGGTTCGCCGTCTAGCTTACGAGCCGAGGAAGATATCGTCGTAATTGAACTAGGATCTCGATTCATCAGACTCGGGTTTGCGGGTGAGCCAACAGCCAAGGCGACCATCTCAATCGGACCAGAAGAGCAACGTCGGGTTGGGGATTACCGTGCCTGGGACCCGGATCACCAACATGACTGGAGACGACGCCCGAGAGGCAAGGCCTGGGGCAATGATCATCAGCTCTGGCAGTTCGATTTGCGATTAACAGACCTGGGTCTTGTCGAAGACAAGATTGATCGAGCTATTAGAGAAGCCCTGACCAAGTATCAAGCCGCCGCCACCCGCTGCTTTCTATGCCTCGTTGCTTACTTGCGTTACCCAGGTTTCTCCTTATCGATTCGCGACCTCGTAGGACTGCCCTCGTCCTTTCCTCATCGGTACCTCTGCCGCTCCTCGGAGCTGCCCTCGATGTTCTCTTCCACCGTTTCCAAGCACCGACAGTTTCTCTCATGTCTACCGCGGTGGCGTCTGCCGTTGGAGCTGGTGCTCGATCTGCGCTGGTTGTGGACCTCGGCTGGGCAGAAACGGTAGTGACGAGTGTGTACGAATATCGCGAGATCCGTACAACGCGGACCGTACGCGGAGGCAAGATGCTGGTTGATGAAGTGCATAACCTCATCCAGGCGGCCTTATCAGAAAATCCCGCCCAATCACAAAGAATTCGCCAAGAAAAAGAACATGGCCAACATTCGGTGAGCTTTGAGGAGTGTGAAGAAGTGGCACGTCGTATGGTCTGGTGTCGTCAATCAGACAGCGACCGTGTCTTGGCGGCAGAGCAAAGGCGACATCAACACCACGGAGAGGGTTTGCCCACAGTCGAGGAGCAGGATGAGTCGGCACCACCATCGCCTACAGTTCCTCAGCAATCGAAGGGAAACGTTGAGATTCCGGTTCTGTCTGTTAGTCCATCTGTGACCTTGACTGTGCCATTCCAGCAACTATCCGATCCGTGTGAGACTACCTATTTTGCGCCGCAATTCTGTCGCAGCAGCTTCGACGACGACGAAATACCAGTTCACCAGCTCATTCACCAGCATCTCTTGCGGCTGCCTATCGATGCTCGGGCCGTTTGCATGTCTCGCATCATTTTCATTGGTGGCTGTTCCAGAGTGATTGGATTACGACGCAGAATATTTGACGAGCTGCTACACCTGGTTCACGAGCGCGGATGGGATCCCATTCAAGGCCAGGCACCGGCAAATTACAAAAACAACTCGCGGCTACGGAGAGCCACGTACCGGCAGACTACCAGTGGCCCAACAGAGGTCGTTCTTGAAGAGGGACCGACAGAAACTAACTCAGACTCGGCACATAACGCTCCTCGAGATGCCGCAGACATCATCGAGGACTCACTTAGAAAGCGCGACAACACATATTCAAACAAACAAGGCCAACTTCGACCTCTGGAGTCGCTTGGACCATGGGGAGGCGCCAGTTTGACATGCCAGCTGAAGGTCGCAGCGATGGCAAACATTGATCGCGAGCTTTGGATACAACATGGAGTCAACGGTGCTTCGCGGCCTAACGAAATCGATGTCAAGGCTCAACAGCGGCAAAGCATGGGACCAGGGGGCTTGATGCGAGGAGCTACTGGCGGGAGCATAGCAAACTGGACGCTGGGGGTGTGGGGCGCTGTCTGACACGGAGCTCCAGAGTTGAGCAGAACACTGATGAAATGTACTGTCAAGGGAGAACGGAATCGTCTCAGCGGAACAAACCTTTCATAACAGACCTAAAGATATGTAGACTTTACGTATGCAGGCGTATACTGTAGCCCAGGAATGATACCCCAAAGCATGGGAGTTTGAATGAGTATGAACATTCGAAAGAAGATAGGGAACAAAATATCTGGTTTCCGTCAGCATAAAAAGAACATTTCGTATATTGCATTAAGCAGGAAACTGGAATGCATAACATCGATACCATTATAACCGATTTGAGAAACATCACCTTACACTTCGGCCTCGGATGATGCATCAATCAATTCAACTTGAAGTAGAGAACTCTCTGTTAGTCACGCCAAATTCGATCAGTCGACATGAGAAACTTTCGAAGTTTCACGCGTCGCTCACCCAGGGCCGTGAAGCTGTCACTTCGACCATCGTCTACTGCGCAAACGAACGGCATCGTCACTAGTCGCAAATTTGCTCGCGCGTTCGCCGATATAAAGCGGCCACCTACTGCGCCCAAGCCGATTATCGACATTAGGCGTATCAGGGAAAATCCAGGTCTTTATGAACAAAATTGTCTCGATCGGAACTACGCTGTCCAGAGCAAAAGCCCGGCACGCATCAACGAAATATTTACACAATGGCAGGCTCTACAGAAAGACAGCCGGGCCCTGCGAGAAAAGTCCAACCTTCTCCGTCGCCAGATCGCCAATCCCGCCTCCGTCCGCGACGATGCCGACTTCGTCACCTTGAAGGACATGTCTCGTGGACAACTTCTTGAAGAAGCTCGGTTGCTGAAGCAAAATTTGTCGGTAGTCGAGCAGAATGAGACGAAGCTGGTTGAAGAAATGGAAAGCCTCGCTCTGGGTATTCCAAATCTGACCAGCAAGGTTACTCCTGTTGGCGATGAGCCACTGTTGCTAAGCTACATAAATGACCACCCTATTGAGCCCTCTAGTGCGTCTGACACAGTCTGGCGGTCTCACATTCATATTGGATCGGAACTCGGCTTACTTGACTTTGCCGCCGCCGGCACCACCTCGGGATGGGGGTGGTACTATCTCCTGGACGAGGCGGCACAACTAGAGCAAGCTCTCGTTCAATACGCTTTGGCTGTAGCCACCAAGCACGGCTGGCGCCAAGTCTCACCGCCGAGTATCGTCTACAGTCACATGGCCTCGGCATGCGGGTTTCAACCGCGAGACCAGAATGGCGAGCAGCAAATCTATGCCCTCGCACAATCTCAGGACGACGTAGAAAGGGGCAAGCCGGAGCTCAGTCTTGCCGGCACTTCGGAAATTCCTCTTGCCGCTATGAAATCAGACACAACGCTGGACGCTTCGGAGTTGCCAATGAAGAGGGTTGCCGTCTCTCGATGCTATCGAGCCGAGGCCGGTGCTCGCGGTGCTAACACCAAGGGTCTTTACCGTGTCCATGAGTTCACAAAGGTTGAGATGTTTGCCTGGACAAGCCCGGACGCCGACGAAACGGGTGATGTCTTTGAGGAAATGCTCGATATTCAGACAGAGCTTCTCGGTTCCCTTGGCTTGCACTGCCGCATCCTCGAAATGCCCACTGCCGACCTCGGTGCTTCAGCCGTTCGCAAATGCGACATGGAGGCATTTTTCCCATCTCGTCAAGAGCTGAATGGCGGTTGGGGCGAGGTCACTTCTGCTAGCATATGCACCGACTATCAGACCCGACGACTTGCTACCAGGGCCAAGATCAACGGTAAACTCACGTTCCCGTGGACGGTCAACGGGACCGCCCTCGCTATTCCGAGAGTGTTGGCGGCACTCTTGGAGGTGGGATGGGATGAGAAGGACATGTCTGTTGTTATTCCGGCTTGCCTGCGTCCATGGATGGATGGGAAGGAGAAGATTGTGCGACAGAATGTTTCGTCGTCGTGACCTTACGTTGGCTGGCCAGGCTAGCTCGCATTGCATTACCCGCCCATCGAAAAAGAAAAGAAAAAACCATTACACCACAGATTCATTCAATCACTAGCCATGGTCGGGCTGAAGAGGCGGGTACATATTCAGGTCAAACAACACTGGCGTGCCGAAAAAAAGAACTGATCGTTACAAACCGTGATGGACAGAAGACGATGGCTATTCCTGCATCTCACTAGTAATACGATAACAAACACCACCTGCAGGGTGGATCGTCCTTGCCCCACGATGCAGAAGACAAATACGAGATAGACAAGCAGCCAACTATTACTTCGTACACAGTGTGCCAGAAGCCTCGCAGGATGATAGAAATGAAATGAGGGTGGGTTCCATGGTCGTCATAATTAGACCGTCTTAACACCGCAGCGAAATCAGGTTGTGCTCTCATTGTTCCGCGAGTACTGTGGCCTCATTTGCTGGCGTCTCGTCGCCCAGCGTTGGGCTCACGCCGCTCTCTGCCCAGTCGCTCTGTGGGTCGCTTCGGACATCGTCGTAAAAATGCGAATAATCGCCATCGCCGCTGCAGTTTTCGGTGCCTTCCGTAACAACCGTCGTACCACGGCTGGTTCGTCGCAAAGTTTCAGTATCGCTCGTATCGTCGCTCCCCAACATGGTTTCTGTGACGACGATGGCATCTTCACGTGGCGCCGGGCTCGGCAGGTTTTCCTCCTCTGTCTCCTTCAGCATGTTCTCCTTGTCCAACTCTCCATAGCCCTTGGCAAAGCCGCCTGCCCAGCTAGATTTCCGAAGACCCTTACCACCAGCGCCAGCAGTCCTGACACTCTGACTGCGCTTAACACCTCCTGCTGGCACGTTGTTTGTGATCTGGCTTAGTGACAGGATGCGACGCGCGGTCCCCGTCTGGGTTGGCGGCTTCAGATTCCGCTTGGCAGACAGAGCCAAATTGACTGTGGGTGATGAAATCTTCTCGTTGACGCCACAGTCTTGACCCGACTTCTGGGTCTGGACACGTTTCCGGCTCATAGCGTCACGTCCCTTGGTTGCCTTTGACATGAGGAGAATGCGGGAATGATCCATGACGCCCTCCAAAATCCGGCGTTCCAATCCTTCGGCGCGAGTCTCCATGTCGTGGAGTTCTTCCCGGCGCAAATGGAGAGCTGTTTCGAGAGACGACACGTCGGCTGTGAGCCTCGTCTTTTGCCGTATCAAGCCATCTTGCTCAGTCTTGAGTCCAAGCACTGAGGCTTTGAGCCGCTCTTCTTCCTGCTTGAGGTCAAGCAGGTTTTCTTGGATCTGCTCCTTGAGGGCTAGCTGGCGCTCCAGTGCAAGATTGACCTCGTTCAGTGTCTTTTCTCTGTCCTCGTCCTCCTCTGCAATTTTCTTGGTCTGGTTTGCCAGGAAGAGTGAGATGTCCGCAGCAGTCTGCAGGACTTGTTGGTGGACCTTCTCGAGTGTGTCAAGCTGAGCAAAAGCCTTCTCCGCTGCATGACTATGGTCGACGAGTTCGTCAAGCTTTCCATGAACAGCTGTATCATCGTATTTCTCAACCGGAATTGATACATGCGTAACTAGCTTATCGAGCTTTTCGTGTACGGGGCTATCGTCATACTTCTCAATAGGTACGAGAGAGTGCTCGACAAGCCTGTCGAGTTTGTCGTTCACACCCGCGTCGAGCTTGTTGAATCTCTCGCCCATACTAGCATCACATTTGTCGAGCTTCTCAATCATGTCCGTGTCAAACTTGTCGAGTTTCTGGCTGATACCTAGGTCCAGCTTGTTGATGTTTTCATTGATGCTTGAATCGAGCTTCCCGATTTGTTCACTTACGCCGGTGTCAAGCTTGTCGAGCTTGTCGTTCATGCCGGTATCGAGCTTGTCAAATTTCTCGCCCACACTTACGTCGAAACTGTCAAGCTTTTCCCCGACACTTACGTCAAGCTTGTCAAGCTTTTCACTGACGCCCATGTGAAGCATGTCAATCTTCTCGGTCTGCCCAATGTCAAGCTTTTCGAGTCTCTCGTGTACGCCTGCGTCATCATACTTTTCGATCGGCAGGAGTGAATGCTCTACAAGCTTATCCAGTTTCTCCTGGACGGCTGTGTCGTCATACTTCTCAGCCGGCACAAGCGAATGCTCCACGAGCTTGTCAAGCTTCTCCTGAACAATTGCGTCGTCATACTTCTCGACAGGCGTCAAGACATGTTCCACAAGCTTGTCGAGCTTCTCTTGTGCAACTGCGTCATCGTACTTCTCGATGGGTATAAGAGTATGTTCAACAATCTTGTCGAGCTTTTCCTGGAGTGGCGTATCGTCGTATTTTTCGGACGGGAGCAAAGTGTGCTCGACCAACTTTTCGAGCTTCTCGAGCACTACGGTGTCGTCGTAGTACTTCTCTGGTGGTGGCAGAAGCGCGTGCTCGGGTGGTTTCGCTTCCTCAATCCGTTGCTGAATATCGGTGGCCGACGCTTTGGCATAATCGTAGTGTTGGCCGACAATGGCGAGGACGTGCTTGACAGCCTCAAGGATTTGCGGCTGTGCTTCGCCAACTTGTCCCTGGAGACCTTCAACAGCGTCGATGGCCTGCTTCAGGTGATCACGGGTTTGTTGATGCTCAGCCTTGTCGTCCGTATGGTTCTCGTCAGATTTGGCCATGAGATTCTCCACCCTGTCAAACACCGTCTTGGATGCCTCTTCCATCTTCTCCATTGAATCGGTCACGGCCGCACCCAACGTGTCAACAAGCGATTTGAGGTCTTCCGCAACGGCCTTGGTTCCCAGAACAGCCGCCTCCGTGTCGGCATCGCGAGCTTCCCCCGCCTTCGTTCGGTCTTCGAGAGTTACCTGGAATTCGTCGTATTTGGTCATCAGTTCCGCGACCCTTTCGTCGATCTTGGTACTCAGGGCTTCGGTCGTCTGCTGGAACTTCTCATCCGATTCTAACTTGGCACCAACTACGCCTGCCTTGGACTCCTCGAATTCCATCTTCATCGTGTCGGAAAGGTCCTTCAGCTCCTGTCCGATAGAAGCGTTCTGGCTAACTGTGGTTGAAACACCCTC